AGCCCCATGCATCACAGCAGGCCACAGGGCCCCACGTGTCGGAAGCTGCCCCGCCCAACGATGGTGTGGCTGCTGGCGTGGTGGCCACCGAGGAAGATCCGCGAGAACCGGCGGAAAGGATGTGGGAGATGGGGCTAAAGTATTGCTGAAGTCGAAAGAGTCTACAGTACTACAGGGCACACCCCTAGGTCTGCAAGACAAAGGTGAGCGAGTGAGGAGGGCAGGTTCACAGTTCATGACGCAGGAAAAGGGGTGCAGGCAGCTTAGTTTTTGGTGAAGACGTGGCCTACGGTCGGCCAACTGCATGCTGTTCGCCTCTGCGGGCAGAAAATCAAAAAAGGGGTGCGCGATTGAGAAGGTACAGTTTCACATGGCTAGAAGCTCGAGCAGTGCAAAGCTGCAGGACGCGCGATACAGACTGCGATGAGGAGGAGGCGGGAAGTACCAAGCCATCACCCTTGGCCTGAGGAGTAGGGGGTTCAAGGTGCATCAAGGTGCTGTCGGGGTGTGCTACACCTCTGGGGGATGATGTCGGACAGTCCTGGGCTGATCCCGCAAGGTGCGTGAAGTGGATCCACCCTACCGCGAAGTTGTGATTGCTATTTAAAGAGCTCTGACCTTGTCTAGGTAAACTTCAGCAAGTCTCTCTGTACAGTGTGCTGCTATTGTTTGCTCGGTCTGAGACCGGCAGTTCCTCAGCTGCGGCAAGGAGCCAGAAGTTGAACAGACACGGTGGAGCCCCTTCATGCACATGCTTCGTCTTACGCGCGAACTCGTAGCTAGGCTGGTGCTGTCCGCGATGCATAGATGGCATCGTCTTTTCCGCGGCCGTACCAGATTTTCGCCAGCAGTTTTCCATCTCAATCCGTGCCGGCTCGTGAATCTCTGGCACATATTGAGAAGGCCCCCCCCCGTTTGCTCAGAGGAGGCGATCTCCGGCTTCAAGATGCAAGGAGCTGCTGAAGTGTCTGTCTTTTGCAGGGCTTCGCGGCTTCTCAGCGTCTGCAGACAAAAGGCGTCCGTCATGTGAGCATCCCACGGTGGCCGTCTTGACGCTGCAACACTTCCTTTTCGATGCAAGCCGGCGGCGCGATCGGGTGCGACTGGGCACCTACTGTAGCTCACTGTAGCTCACTGTAGCACATTGTGGCACATTGTAGAATTGCATCCTATGATTGTGGTATATTGTGATGCTACTGTACGACGTTTCGACAGTTTGAGGGCTATATACCATCAGCACAGCATCCAGCAGTTTCGAGCAGTTTGCAATTGGCCATGAACGAAGAACGCTTGAACATTCAGGAGACGGCCCCGGGTTTGCAGACGTTTGCAGTGCAACCGAGAGAGCAACAGCTCTTCCACTGCTTTCATGGCTTTCTTGCGCCCGCGTCTCTGCCACTGGGTTCCAAGTTGCCCTCTCAACGAACGCTCAAACTAGCTACAACACGCCGAGCGCTCGGAAGGCAAAGAGGAATGAAGGAATCAACTGCGGAATGGACATCCCTCCAAATCCTTCACCCGGCGCTCCGCCCAAGCACAAAGCCATCCAACGAGTCGAACAAAACTGAACGGTCTTGGGCGGTCTTGGGCCTGGGAGCCGCCAGGTGGAACGATTGCATAAACTCATTCGCATCTGTTTTGGAGATTGATTTTGGTTCCGTGTCGGGCTTTGGTAGTGGCATCTGCAGGGAGACGCCAATTAGACTTCTTTCGTTAATGTTTGTTCCCCTAGCAGGTGCTTTATTTCCCGACTGCTTACGCGGACTTCGTGGGTAAATGTCTCGGGTTACTTGGCTGCCCGACACCTCCTGACTTCCTGAACATCTTGGCTTCATTTCTTCCTCTGAGTATTGCACAGCTAATTACCGTGAACTGAAGGAATTCACATGCAAGCAATCCAAGCGTCGTTCACCTGAAGGAAAAAGTAGTCATTGAGAACGTGACCCCGAAGCCTCCTACTTCGATCCCGGGCCCTGTGCCGAGTTCACAGGTCCTAGGGTTTTGCGGGGTTAGGCCAACATCGCCACAGAATCTTGCAGCTCATGCAGGACCCCATCTGCGGTGCCTGGACGATTTATCAGCAAGAGAAGCCCGATCATCTCGAGGGTGTCTCGCTGGAGACGTGGACTCTCGATCCAAGAAATCGCGGGCTCGAAGGCCCTGAAAGCCCCCAACTGTCACAACCCTCATAAAGCTCTGTAGCAGAATTCTGCGTTCCAGTGCACGTCGGATGCAGGACCACGGGAGTCCCTCACGTCTGCCGCAAGATTCCCCATCCCACAAGCACCCTACACTCCACCAACATCAGAGTTCACCTTTGTGTGTGTGTAGGTGCTGACCTAGAGTTATGGTCTCCTTTCGGAAATAGCGTGTCTTCTAGATTAAATTAAAACACTGCAGTCCCCCCCCCCCCCCCCCCCACCCCCCAACCCCCCAATCCCCCAATCCCTGAAGCAAGGACCGCTTGGTTGGAGAAGGTGCATCGGACTTTGCAGACCTTCCAACGGATTCAGTTCACGAAGTTGGTCGGAGGCCATCGGGCTCAGAAGTTCTCTCTCTCTCTCTCTCTCTCTCCATGGACTGATGTCGGATGTTCTAGGATTATAGGGCAGGTTTGGAACACGGCTGGACCAGGAACCTCAGCCTGGCCCGGTCTTGGGGTGTAGGCCTCTTTTGTGGAGAATTGAGTGCGGGGGTATCAAATTCGACATCGAAGATGGCTTTTGGGCGATCACGCGCTGCAGCCGAATTTCAGAGAGGCCCACTGTTCTGGCAGTCTTCTCCAGTTGCTGCTTGCGACGACTTTGATTGTGGCAGCCCAAGATACTTGCGAGGCATCGCTTTCATCGTCTGGACGTTCGTTTGTTTCATTGTCTTCGTGATTGCCTTCATGATGCTGTCGGCAGCTTTGAGGCAACATTGAGAATGCAGAATACATGGCAGCATTGTCAGGAAACACCAGGAGCCCTGATAAGTCTTTCAAGAGTTCAAGGTCTATGCGCCCGAAGGTTCTGCAGAATAGACCCATTTCAGGAAAATGGCACCTGGGTCAGCATGGGCGCCCTGATGGCCTGTGTGTTGGGCTGTGCCATTGGTTGCATGAGCAACGGCCGGAGTTTGTTGAAGTGTTTGAGTTTTCAACTTGTCTGCTCGTTTTGCTTGGCATGCGATTTCTTCCCCAGGTGGCATCGGGCCGATTGTGTTCCTCTGTCTGGTGTGCTGCGAGACCAGTGCGAAGGACAATCTCAATCAACTCTGTTCCTCGGCACACCTGGGCATGGTGGTTGCAAACGCTGTAAGCCGTAAGCGCTGAAGTGCATGGTGTAGCTCAGTTAGCTCAGTGCATGTTGTGAGTACACGGAAAAGAGGCCGACAGCCTGACACCCGGCACCCGCAGCCTTCCCAGCAAGGGATTTGTAAATCGACCTCCTTCAACATCCACCACTCCTCCAAGCTCCCTGTTTCCCGAGGCCTCCAGGGCCATTTGCAGGCGAACCATTGTTTTCGGATCCTTCACGGGCTCTGTTGTTGTTTTCTCGTCCCGGATGTCATTGCCCGATGGCCTCGTCGGAGCCTTTCGCGGTGCGTAAATGCCGTAGATCCCCCGCTGAAGGCTGAGAGCTTGAGAGAAATAAGAGAGAGAGAGGAGAGCCCCGCTGTGAAGGGGACTCAAGGGGACTCCTATTTCCCCGACAGCCGAGGCTCGGAGTTGGCCGCCGAGAAGCCAGGGCTGTCCGTGAGGTGCCGCCAAAAAAAAGAGAGAGAAAAAAAGAGAGAGAGGAAACAAAAATCGAGAGGGGACCCTTCAACAACTCGTCCATCCATGGGCTTCCACCACTACCCGACCCTGGGGACCCTGATGGACCCTGAGAGCGGAGAACAACCTGAGTAGGGAAGAAGAAGAAGAAGCAGAAGAAGAAGAAGAATAAGAAGAAGAAGACGAAGAGAAAGAGAGCACGCGGAGAGAGACGTTGAGTTGTCTGATGCAGTCCGAATAGCAACTGCATTCCGTACATGAATGCCAAGTGTGGTGACTTCATGAGAACCCTTTGACCTGGAGCCAGGGTGGATGAAAGAGAATGGGCGGGAGAAGCAAGGCAGCAAGCAGCTGCCAGGTAGAGAAGTTCACTCTGAAGCCCCGAAGATATAAGCTGCACGCCAGGCTTAAGAGCTGTGGCTGAACCTAACTCAGTTGCTCCCTTTTCGACAGACCTACCCCGGGCCAGCCCTGCAGCATTCTTCTTGGCCATTGTTGAACAGTTGAACAACTTGAGCAGCGCGGCCCAGGGGCGGAAACGCGCAAGCAACAAGGTCATCCTCATTTCGCAGAGACTGTGCTTGCAATTCCAAGCGGGTGCGTGTTACCTTCTAGCAGTCTACTTGGGTTGTGGCTTGGGGGCTGTGGCTGACTCTGAAAGATTCTCTGGGTTGGGTTTTTAATGGCTTCGGTGTGGCAAACCGAGGCGCGATCCAGTTGGCGCCCGGGATCTCGATGACCCAGGACTTTGAAACCAGGAAGCTTGAAGTGAGAGTTGCAGTATGTTGCAGTCGAGCCTCCCGTCCCAAGCATCTTCCACCCTTCCCTGAAGGGGAGTCGGGTGGCGCGGGGCATGAAAGAGAATGGCTGCTCCATGCGTCTTTTCGATCTTCCTGTCATCTTACGGCATGTTTCACCTTGCAGCTGCCCGTGCGATTGTTTTGGCGTTTTGGCGAAGCTGCAAGACATCTCGGCCGCGGCCCAAAGAGTGGCTTTGACTTGGCAGCTCAGCCGGGTACGGACACGAAGAAAACCCCGAGGCGATGTCCCAGAAACCCACGGAGAGAGCTCGCATACCGCAGAGCTCTGTTGGCTTACTTACTGGAGCTACAAGAACCCTAAAAGGGTTTTGACTCCAACGAAAGTCCCTAAACTCACCCCCCACCCCCCCACCCCCCCCCCCTCCCCAAAAAAAGAAGGAAAAGAGGTACATATGAAAAGGCCGAGCTCCACTCAGACTCAGGCAGCGCCATCCGGATCACGCACGCGCCGCAGCCGACGGACATCATCTGGGAGAACCAGGAGATTTTCGGGGACTTGGGGCGTAAGATGGCGTAAGGGGTTTAGGAATATTGAATATTGTTGCGATTTTTGTTTCGGGGTCTTGGGGCGTAAGGGTTTAGGAATATTGAATATTGCGGTTTTTGGTGGAATTGTAGTCTAGGGGTTCGGTCTCGGGGCCCAGAGTTTTGAAGTTGGGCTTATAGAGTTGCTCAGTTCGCTACTTGGGATTGCGGGACCAGCAGCTCCTCGTCGGATGCTGTCCGGTCTTGGAACGCTGTCATGTCTGGGGTGTTGAGGTAGGAGGCAGGCGGCAGGTTGCTGTATCTGGTACATGGTGTAGATCGGATCGCTGCCGAATCATGCGTTCTGCAGTCGAGCGGTGCTTTGCCATGGTCGCGGCCGAAAGACGTGTACTGAAGCTGGGCTCGAGAGCCCCCATCTACACCTTGAATCCTCAGGATTCTCCACACTCCAAAGCGTCTATGTATCGCGCGGTGCGCTTCCCCACTTCTTTGATGAGCGTCAGGACATTCCTTGGTACAGCCGCCTCTGGCGCCAAGCTTTCGTGTGGCTCACCTTATCAGAGTGCACGTGGCCATTAGAAGACCACTCCATGGTCCTGGACATTGTGCAAGGCATGCCTTTGTACTAAACCCAACCAGGCATGAACAACCCAAGACAGCCCCAAATCCGTTTACCCGCATGCGCACCGAGGTTGCTGCTCTTCGTGATCATCCTCTCCATCTCGTGCACCTCCTAGTGTTAAGAGTGTCGGGGTCAGTCTTGGCTTCTTGCTGAAGAGGGCTTTGCCGCTTTGCGAAAAAGAGAGAAATCAAGCTTTGCAGTGTTCCGACCGGGAGGACTGCGCACATGCTTGATTGCAGCCTTATCCGGCAAGGTACTCTTTAAACCCTACTCAATGACTCAAAGCATCCATGGCGGGCTCTTTTGCCTGCAGAGCTGGCGAGGCTTTGCCTGATCTATGTGACCACGGTGGCGGGTAAAGCCACTGCAAAGTCTCAGCCAGCTCCACAGAAAGGGGCCTTCGGGGATACCCAAGAACTTCTCAGCCTTTTGCAGAGAGTTTGCACGAAGTCAGGTAAAAAAAACCCTCTACACCAAAGGCTTCGGGTTTGGGGTTCAAGGCATATGGTTCAGGGGTTTGAGGTTCACAAGGGGCACTTTAGGGTCGAAGATGGCTGTTCACTGTCGCCTCCAAGGGTGAGCTACCTCGGGGTGCCGGAGTGCGATCCAGCAGGTGATCAGGTGGACCTCCAAGGGCTTGGCACTGAGAAGCGGAGGTTTAGGATTTTGGGCGTGGGGGGGGGGGGGTTTCAGGGCTTTCAGGTTCAGGGTTTAAAGGAGGGCTAAGGGCGCCCCACAAACTTCTTGCCCAGGTTGCTGCCAGGAACTCTCAAACCCATCCCCAGGTAAGAATGGGCACATAGATGTATGTATGTATGTACGTATGTATGACATATACATATTATATATATATATATAGATTTGCCACAAGGAACCTACGCAAAACCTGGATCTGGGTTTGGGTGTCCCGACGCTGCTCAGGAACACGCAGTACAAGTGCTTGCTCACCACGGCCGCCAACTGGACACAGCAATATGCAGTCGGGGAAGGCCGGTCATGAGTGGGGGTTTAAATGGTTTCACACCCCTCAACTACAAGCCCAAAGCTGCCAGCAACGTTATACCAAGCAGCCGGCCATGGAGTGGTATTAACGCTCACGACACGAGGGCCGAGGGCTGAAATCCCGTAGGCTGCAAGCAGGGCATGCCATACAAATTCTGCTCGCAGATCCCTTCACTCCACATGAATCGCAAGTCGCTCTCTGTCTCTCTCTGTCTCTCTGTGTCTCCGTCTGTCTGCCTCTCTCTCTCTCTCGCTCTCCCTCTCTCCCTCTCCCTCCCTCCCTCCCTCCCTCCCTCCCTCTCTCTCTCTGTGTCTCTGTCTCTTGTTCTCACTCTCTCTCTCGCGCTCCCTCCCTGCAGGCGGCGACATACTAAGCTGCTGGTGCACTGCCCAGGGGTATGAGGCGCTGCTCGGCGACCCAGGCCTTGGAACCAGAGGCTTCCCAAACACGCTTTGTGCAAGTTCAACAGCCGTGTGCCAGGGTTGCTGGAAGCATGCACCCCATGGCTGTGGGGTGCGGGGCCCAGTGTACGAAGAGCATCGAAGAGCTCGCAAGCTGCTTTCGCAAGTTCGCTTCGCGATGAACCCGAACAGCCAGAGGATCGTAGCGGATCCATCACGTGTCCTTGATTCCAGTCCATCGTACCTCAAGCGATTGCGTTGCAGAACACGCAAGCGTCGCCAGCAGTGCCAACGTTTTTGTTTTGCAGAACTGGCGACATCCGTGGGCATTGCCTTCGCGTCATCGACCGCTTGGAGCCCAGTGCTGCAAATTATGCAGCCCTCGACTGTCCATACCTTGTGATCGGCGACTTCTGTTCTGTGTGTCATAGGGCCCCCTTGCAGACGAGCGGCCCAAAGCAGCAAGTTGAAAGATCCATGGCACGGGAGTCAAGCCAAGCCAGCAAGCCAGAGCATCTCACTTGCAATGCCGTGCACCAGTTCTTGCCATCCGGTTTGTCTGGCACAGCCCCAGCTCAACAGCAACCGATTCTGTCCACACAGAAGCTTCGCCATCCGAAAAGTGGAGGTTCGCAAGGTTTAAGGTTTGAGAGGGGTGTTCACAAGGCTTATAGATTGATTTCGGCAGTTCAGGGCTATCACTTGCAGCAATGGGGCTATCATGGGGCTCATTGATAGAGACCGCTCTCGACCAGCTGCGGGAAGCGCGGAAGCCTCAGGCCGAGGGCTGCTGGGAAAACCGGACATCCTTCACCCTAACTATCCCTAATTGTCCCGGATCATCCCTAATTATCCCTAATTCTCTGGGTGGCTTTGGGAACTTGGGGGGGGGGGGGGGGGGGCGAAAAAAACATTTGGGAGATGTGGCTGTCCGACCTGTGCGGGGGGTTTAGTAGCTCAGTTCCCTGAGCCTTGAGGCAGAGCCACAAAGATTCCTGGCTCAGCTTGAGATTGTTGCTACTCTCCTGAGAGTTGACCTCACCGATCGCAGCTATCGCAACGACTTCACACCGAACTATCGGGTCCTCTTCGACCGCCCAGGCGCCCGGGGGGATGGGGGGGCATCTGGGTAATACTATTCCGGGAGGGGGGGGGGGGGGGTTGCCGCGTCTTGCACAAACGACATTGGCATACTTGCGACCCAGGGCGCCGGCTCTACATCTACGAGCTCTTCAACTGCTTCGACTGTGAGCCCATCTTCGTGAACGGGAAGCTGATCCGTATCAGCCAGGAGGCACGTCAGAAAGGGAAGCTCCTGAAGCGGTGCTACCACGAGTTGCTGGAGACCGTGGACGCCTACTTTCTGGCAAACGCCATCCCGGACCTCGAGAAGATGCGAGCGCTCTTGGCCCGCTTCGATCGCACCTGGGTGGAGTTCGAGAAGCTCTACTTCGAGGAGAGAGAGCCGAGGGCCTTTGTAGCCGCTTTTCGCTTCAGACGAGCTCAGAAAGACAGCCCCTCCCCCCCCGCCCCCCCCTCCTCTTTTTCCCTCCCCTTCCCCAGAGCTGAGACTTAAGAAATAGGGGCAACTTGAAAGACCCCTTCTCTCTCTGACTCTCGCGGGAAGCTCGAAGAGGAGCTCTTCCAGATCGAGGCGGAGGCCCGGGCCCCGGTGGTGCGCGCCATGCAGCTGGAGCACAAACTGCGGCGCCGTGGACCAACAATTGGAAGCTTTGGGCTGTTCTTAGTTTGTGGGGTTGTTAGAATTTAAACTCAGCTCTTCTCCTCGCCCGGAACTCTTCTCCTCGGTCTACTCCTAGAGTCTCCCTAACCCCAGAGTTTTGTGCAGACACTCCCAAGAGTCCCTGCAGTCCCCAGAGACTCCCTGGAGTGCCCAACCCAGAGACTCTCTGGAGTGCCCAACCCCAGAGTCTCCCTAGAGGCCCAACCAGTCTCCCTGGAGTGCCCAACCCCAAGTCTCCCTGGAGTGCAGAGACTCCCTGAAGGTGGGGATGTTCGAAGTAAATTAAAGTTTTTATTTTTTTTGGGGGGGGGGGAGGTGGGGGGGAGAGCTTCATGAGGCTGGGATGAGGGCTTGTAACACCCCGTGGCCACACAGAGTCTGAGACGTGCGGATATCTTCGACCCAGGAGCTTGGAATCCAATGACACGCCGAAGCTTGAGGTGGACCTTTTTTTCCCGGCAATGTGCACTTCAAGCTGAGCTCGGAAGTGTAGGGCTCGAAGGTTTCAAGGCTTTTCTGAGGCCTTTTCATGGTTTAGGATCCCGAAACAGCGGGGTTTCGTGCCTTGCTTCCCTGGTGTAGTGGCTCCTTGCTTTGGGCCGGGCTATTCTTGCGCTTGCTCATTCAGGTACCCACAGGAAGCAAGCAGAAATGGGGTTTTCGGAAAGGCTTTCGGGAGGGTTTTGGGGCCGTCACTGCAATTCATTTTGTCACCCTGAACCTTACACTTGGAGGTTTCGGGAATGCAACAAAAATGGTGACCCTCAACCGGATGACTTCGGAAATGATAAGCCGCAGGCCGGCGAAACCAAGCGGGACTCTAAGCGAATCTTGCAACTGGAGGTCTTGGTGTCCTCCATCCGGGACCGCTCGCCCACGAGATACAACGAGCGCTTTGAGGCGCAGAGTCAATAGAATTCATGGAATAGACCAGAAGGAGCAGAGGGAAAATTGGTACTGTACTACCTATAGGCTTTCTGAGTTTGCACGCTTTCCACTGGACGGCAGGTTGAGGGGTCAGTCATCGGCTGTAGACACTGTAGACGTGAACCCAGAGCAGCTTCCGAATACGGCGGTATTCAGTGAAGTGTGTCCTTGGGAGTCTCTGCTGAGCACCCAGAATGGAGACTCTGAAGCCTCAAGCATCTCGAGTCACAGCTCTTGTAGATTCTTGTACCTTGAGCCTGAAGCCACCATGGAAAGTTTGAAGCCAAATGCTTCCAGGTCCTGAAACAGCTGGTCCAGCTGACGGCAGGCCAGCTCAGAAGCATGCTCCAGTTTCAAACATACACTCCGCCTATCGGCCACTAGACTACCAGGACCAAAAGAGCAGGCACTGGCCGCTTCATCATTGGGCCTCACAAAAGCTGCTATGGGGCTGCCTTTCGGGGTCACACGAGGTTGGTTGCTTGAGTGTTGCTTGCACTGCATATGATCGGCAGCGCAGCGCCGTAAGCCCAAAACCCTGAACAAACCCCATGAAGCCCGATTGAGCCTATGGCGCCAATCATGGCCTACAATCCTAGGCCCTTAGGCGGTTCACGAGCCTTGAAAATGCACGTGGGCAAGCTGCAGAGGCCTCAACAACTGCGCCAACGTCGCGGGTCGCGGCCGATTCCCGGAAGCAGGGAAGCGGTATTGAATTCCCTTGGTGCACATAGGGACATAGGGTAGGGATACTGGCAATAACAAGAGCATCCTACTTCTTCATCTGGGGTTAGGGGGGAGGGCACAGTGCTTCTTTGCAACCCTGCCACTTTGCCGCACCAGGAGACGACTTGAGTGTGGAGGTCCTCGTGGCAGCGGCAGATCGTTGGGCTCTGGCCATGTCTGTGAAGCCCAGTACAGAGCTGGAGATCCCCGACGGAACTGCACCCTGTAGCGCATGTTCTGATGCCATAAAAACCGAGGCTGGGCAGACTTTGAAGATGTGAACAAAACTCTGGAAACTGCAGCCAAGGACCTACCATCGCGAGGTACAGCGCGTCCTGTCCAGCCGTGTGCTGCAGCACTTTGCAGACCTTCGGAAGTACTTCGGCTCTATCAGCGACATCTGGAAGGAGGCACTACCGAAGCATTCCTCTCAGCTTTTTGCCCAATTCGCAGTGGCTTTGCTAAGCGGATGGGTAAGACAGTAGATGTGGAAGCCATGTTGTCTGGGAATGCATTGCGAGCGATTGCAGCTGGTGCCCTGTGACTGTCGGTGATGCATGGCAGTGCCACTGCACACTGTCCTGTCCAGTCTTTGATCCTAAGCTCCTGCAACCAGCATCCGAGAGGTGGATCCTCAGCTTTGCAACAACCGGAAGCTAGTGGACGCCCTTTCTGCCTGGGAAGTCGCCTGGGAACTGGGCTTCCTGGCCTCTTTGGGAGGTTTTGGTGTTGGACTTCCTAGACTCAAATTTTAAAAGCCGACCTGCAGATTGTCATAGTTCTTTTTGGTTCAGGCCTTAGCTGGCTCTGTACCTCCAGCATCGTTTGCTTTGAGCCCCAAATCCTGTAGTCCCTAAACCATGCAGCGCAGTCAGGCAACCGCTCCCTCCTAAAGCAAGATGTCCTGCAGTCCTTCAGCAATTGCGCTGCGATGACTCTTGATGCCTGGCCTGTGTTGGAACATGGACTCTGATGTTTTGTGGTCTGAATGGCTGTAGCCTGTAGATCCTCTCAATATGGAGCCCATGAACACGAAACGCAGTTTAGAATGAAGGGTTTAGGGTGAGGGTTTTGGTTTTGGGTTGAACTCAATGAGACAACCTTGCACGTCGCCCTTACAGCATCTTAACGAGCGGCTCTCACCTCCTGTGCTGTGACAGAGCTGCTATATCTCGTGACTAGCAATGCAGGGGTAAGAGTTGTGAGATGCCAAACCCTGCACCCATATGGTGTGGTCGAGGAGTGCATGGATCTGGTAAAGTTTACCGATGTCTTGTTTGAAAGTGTTACGGTTTAGAGTCTAAATAGCCCGTGCCATACCGAGTGTTGTTAAACTGTGCCCTGGGATCCTGAACTCACGCGACCTCGCGACATCTTGTGAGTGCGAAGCGCTGCAGCTCCAGGCCCGAAACCGTGAAGCCCACCTGACAGAGCCGTAAATAAGATTCTAAAGGCTCTGGTCACATTGGTCCTGAGGCCTTGAAGACCCCACACCCTAATCTGGCCCTAATCCAGCCACCAAGGACGCCCAGCGGCTGGCTCCTACCCTGCCACGGCTCATTGACACGCGAGATGCCGAGCTCTTCCTGAGCCATGGCAATTGCACGATTTGGGGCGCTTTTGTGTTAGAGATGGTCGAAGATGGTTTAGATCCTGCACATGCGTTCTGCGAAGCTGCAGGGTTCGTGTATGAACTCATAACGTGTGACTGGCATGTTTATGATGCATGACGTCATCATCATTATGTGTTTATTGAAACACTTGTGCGTGCAGCCTCGGCAGCCGTAGCACGCGCAACGGTCCTAGGAGGGGTCCAAGGCGAGGCTTCCCAAGGGCAGATTGAACCAGCCCCAAAAAGGGTTTTGGCTTTCAGGCTTGGGAGGCAGTTTGGGCAGGTCCGACAAGGGACGGGGCGGGGGTGTCTCTCGGCGACAAATCGTCTTAGGAATGCAGAATAGAAGCAGGATGCAGTGCTTGATGTCGTGGAGCTGGACAAGCTGTGTGCATTCTCGGGTTTAGGGTGCAGGGTTTAGGGTTAACCCCAAGCGGCCCCAAACCGAGTGTTGAAGACTGAGGATCTTGCCTCGGCTGGTGATCATCGCCGCCCTGCGATCTCCGAGCCAATCCGGCCTCATCCGTGAGCTCCTGCCCCACCAGCTTCTTTTTGCTTCATTTTAAGTTGTTCCTGACTCTTTTTTTGTAACAGAAACCTGTAAGGCACGGTTACCTTACTCGCCGTAATCGCCTAAACCAGAGGGGGGGGCCCCCGAGCCGGTATTCAAGGTTTGCAGAAGGCCAGGAGGGCCACGAGGTGGAGGCGGAGTTCAAGAGCCGGCTTTCGGATCTGAAGAAGGACTTCGAGGAGGCCGAGCAGAGAGTTTAGGGTGCAAGGTTTTAAGGAATTTAAGGGTTTGAGGGTGTTTAGGGTTAGCTGGGTTGTCAAGGTGCAGATGTCCCTACTTTCCGCATCCAGCTCGGACGGTGACTTCCTGACGCGCCAAGTGATCTCGGGGCCTGGGGCTGAGACAGAGGGCGACGAGAAGCTTCACAACTTCCTGCTGGCTCTGGAAGGCCTTTGGTGTAAAGCAGGTTGCTGGTTTGGGGTTCAGGGCGGCTCGGAGTTGAGGGCCGCTAGGCTTCGGGATTCGTGTTAAGCAGGTCAAGACTGCACCTTCATGTACCCTTGGGAACACCAACGTAGGGCGTAAAGAGTTGTCAGCACGCAGTTTGGAGGCCTCAGTGTGGAGCTGCAGCGCTACCGGCCGACGGACTGGAATCAGACCTGTTCGGCGCGGCTTTGGCGCTCTTGAGAATCCCTTTTCTTAACGTCGTGGACGAGCCTTTCTCTTTTTGGAACGGCTCTCCAGGGGCGATCTTTCACTTCAGACGGCCCCAAACCCGAGCAGAAGACACTGAGTTACAGCGGACTGCTCAAGCCCCAGGCCTAGATTCCCAAGTCCTCTCTAAAAAGCTCGTAGAAGCTTTGAGTACTTTTTCGGGGGAGGTTGCCGAGCTCCTAGGGGGGGGTTCGGTCAGGGTTTCCTCCAAGGCTTTTGGAGTGCATCGAGGCCGCCTCGGGTCGTGAAGTCGGCGCTGCCCCGGCATTGAGGCGACCAAGCGCCCCGCCCGAGTCATGCCGAGCGTTTTTTTTTTTCTTTGGCTGCTTTTCGTGTTTTGGGGGTTTCAGGGTTTTGGGGCTTTAGGGTTTATTTTTTTTAATATATGTTTTTATATTATTATAATTTTGCGGGGGCGAGTCTCAGAGCCGAGTCTTCCTTCGAGCTTAGGACACCTTGGGGTTGTGGGTTGTGAGAACAGATGCCAGCTACCCAGGTGAGACAGCGGAAGACTCCCAGGCGCGCTCTTATCTGACACCCCCAAAGGCTATACCCAAAGCCTCCAAAATTCTTTGCAGGCCAGAAGAGGCCCCGAAACTTCAGAATGTCAGAATCCCCTGCAGGAGAATCAGCCTGACTTTGAACCTTCAGCTTCCCTGAGACGGGCCATGAGACCTTGGTGTTTTTAAGGTTTCAATGCTCAGCTGCGTAGCAGCCCTTCTGAGCAGGAGTGAGCAGTGTGTAAAGCCGCGCCCTCCGTGGCTTTACTCTACCCCAACAGGACCCGGACACTCCGACTAATTCCCCCAAACCCTACGCACCTCTAGGGTTGCCCTTGGTTCGCGATCCTCGCTTTCTCCTTGCCGTCGGCATGCCGGCTCGACTCATTTCCATTTGTTGCGGGAGGGTGTGGGTTGCTTCGCCTCAGACTGGGGCTTTAGGGGCTTTAGGGGCTTTAGGGGCTTTAGGGGGCTTGATGGCTCGAGCTTCTAGGGCAACTCCACTCTTTCGGGTGGCTTTATGAGCTGTAACAGAGGATCTTTCGGGTTTTGCCCCGGCCCTTCTCTGACAGCTCTAAAGCTTACAAGGCCTGCAAAGTCTTGTTTGTAAATGTTGGCATGCTAGAATGGTAGGAGGATGACACTACGGCTAGGCACTGCTCGTTTGGAGGTGTTGCTGGTTGCTGGTACTCCCGATAGCCCGAAAGGCATAGTTGCAAGCCCACAAGCCCTAAACCATCCTAAACCAAAAGCCCCATGCCAGTAATGTGCTTTGAATGGAAGGACCCACGCCCGAAGTCCTTTAAGGGACACGTAGCATGAGGAATTCACTGCATTGCCCCAAGTTTCGGTGCGAAAGCTCAGCATTGCATGGCATCTGCTCGACTTTCGGCTCTTTTAAAAAAAACGATTTTTGGTAATTCGAGCATCTTCGGGAGCCTTGAACATACAGGATGGTCAGGGCACAGGGTCCAAGACAGAAAAGCTGTCAGAGTCAGAAGCTGACCGGGACCAAGACCAGGAAACTGTAGATGAGTTGTAGGCATTTCGTTCACGTTCCACTCTAGGTTCTCATTCAGCAAACCAGAATGAGACAAAGTCACGCCTTGGAAGAAGGAGCTTCGAGAAGAAAAGAGGAAGATCCCTGGGATGCTCCTCCAAAGCGCCTCGCTGAGAGAAGTTGCTCACTTGCTCTCAGATTGTAATGGTGATCAACGTGGTGTTGCAGCTTGTGCTGGTCTACCTCGCCGTGCCCTCGGTTTCTTCGTTGCACGACCTTGGCGGCAGGGACTCAGTTAAGAGCCCCGACTGTGATCCAGGCAGAGTTCGAGCGGCCTCTTTCACATACCAGCCTAAACAGCTCCATGATGAAGAAGGCCGTCTTTGTTGACACGTGCAAGACCGTCTCTCCATTTCATGTCTTTTGGCGCGCTCAGAGTTCTCTCTGTCAATGCCTTCGTGCAGGCCTTCTGGGCCCAGACCCTGAACACCGGATTTGCAGGGCCCTCATGGCCCTCTCGGCAATTTTTCGTCCGAATGCAATTTGTTCGATCGGCAAACATGTTGGGCAGTCCCCAGACCGAATTTCCCTTCTGCCAGTTCTAGCCCACTCCTGGGAGCTGTTTTGAGGCACTGGCACAATTCAGGGGCCCCTCATAGCCTCCACCGGGCCTCCGCCGGGTCCACGCCAGTGCCAAGGTTCTCTTCTTCGTGAACTACTTCGCACCCGAGGCCCGAAATCATCAGAATGTGGCAAGGTAGGACGTGCAACTAATCGGAGGGGAGCGAGCATGGCTTGCTGAACCTAGATGTATGATGATGTATGTTGAGGGGATATTTTTCAGTGTAACTGCAGCTACATAGGGCTGCACTTGGTGACAAGGCTATGCAGGTTTTAGGGCTTTGAGTTGGTAACTGAGTCTTGTGAACCCGAACCCTTCGACATAACATGGTGGTCCCAGTGCGCCCCAAGCAAGGGCCTAGGGCCTAGGGCCTAGGATCTGTAGCGCTTAAGGCCCCAAGCCCTCCCAAGCCCTAAACTCGCAAAGTCCCTTTTCCCTAGGTTAGTAACACTTCGGAAGCCGCAGCATGCCATGAGGCCCTTCAAACTGCAGTCCTCATCATTCCTGGTGTAGGCGGGGCTGCCCAGTCGCAGGCACATTGTTCAAAGTGAGCGATGCCAGATCGTAGCATCGTGTCGTGTGGCAAGTTAGCAAGAGGAATCCTTTCTTCGCTGCCCGTGGCAGGAAACCTTCTCTTTCGTGGTCCCTTTGCAGAGATCACCCGCGGATGGTACGCCATCGTTGGCAGGGGACTCAACATCGACATCGGTACAATCTTCACAGGCACGGTACAGGAACGGACAGCACGTGCTGACATCAATTCACACTGCCTTCACGCCAACACCGTGAAGAATGCAGAGATGTTCATCCTTCGAAGTGCCGAGCTCCTTAGCCCGAGGTGTCACCATCGTCATGAACATGCTCCTCAACTGCTTCGTGCCGTCTTGCGTGACTGTCGCGAAGATGGTCGTCAACGTCTTCATGAGGCCTGATTTAGTCCAGCGCTGCTGCCCAAAGCCTGTGGTGGAGCCAAGAATCAATCTGCAACCGTCTGCAACCTGTCGGGCAGGTGCTTTTGCAGACGGGGTGTCGCTCACCAGGCACTGGGCCTGGCAAGCTGGGGCAGAGCATGTTTCCGTACGCTGCGCCCCCTTAACCAAACAAGCAAGAAGCAGACCGCTCTTGGGGGAGGCGGAGCTGCTACAGCTCTATACCCACCCAGAGTTTGACATCAAGCAGAAGTGCGCAGGGTTTAGGGTCTAGGGCTCCCGCGCAAGCTCAGATCGCCAGTGATCTTGGGGTGTTGGAGTTAGGGCCTTTAGGGCCTTTACGGCCTTTAACGTCTAGCGAAGAAACCCCGATATCTATCACTCAAGCCTGGGCAGACCTTCTCGGAGCTACATTGCGTTGGCTTTCAGTGATCAGATCAGTCTTGACATGCCAATATCAGCAGCCACCTTTGCATCCTGGCAGATGCTCTCGTGCATGTGAGGTACGCACAGCTCCTGACCACCGTCTTCGTGACACTGCACTCGCCTAAGCTGAAGTTCGCTATTGGTGTCGAAATAGGCGTGTGTTTTCTTTCTGTCTTCGATTTGTTCTCCTTGTTGTAAGTTCCCATGTTCTCCCCATGTTTCCGACCACCCTGGTAAGAATTTGCCTGTTTGAAGTCACACCATCCCAAAGCAAAGTAACCGTGTCGTTCTTGGGGGGCTTGACAGTTACCCGAAGTTTACCAGATAGTTGATGAGGCTTCTTGAAAGGGAATCGCTAGCAAATAAGGAACATTGCGCAGGCTGCGTTGACCAGCCCGCAACCCAGCCCCGCAACCCCCCCAAGCGCCCGGAAATCCAAAGCCCTGCATGTGAAGCCCAGGATGTATGGAGCAGGCCTGCCTCTGCTCTACTTCTTAGCAGCTGCCCTTCGTCTGCAATGGTCCAGAAGGAGCCAATGCCTCCACCCAGTGCGCCAGCATCCGCCTGGGACACTGGCAACCCCTGCGCCCAAAGACGCCCCAAGATAGTTCCCGTATGCTGCACATGGTGGGAAGCCTATGTCATGTCCCGAGGTCTTCATGTTCTGCCAGTGCGCCTCATGCGGGGTCTGGGAGACGGCCATGCGGTGTTTGAGGTATTGAGGGCTCTTCTCACTTCTGCGAACGTCACAAGGGTTCAGAGCCTTTTGTCAGGTACTGGGCAGACAAGTACTGCTTGCTTTGGGGCTCCCAGAGGCACGGAATGGGCTAGGAGTCTTGGAGGGATCTAGATTCTAGATAGAACATTCTAGTATATAATGTATATGTGTGTGCGTACATTCATATTTGTATATAGAAACGTGTGTAAATAAATAAATAAATCAATAGATAAAAAGAAAAATAAACAAATAAACAAATAAATAAATAAATATATATATATATATACACACACATATATTTTCTGGGGCATATATCGGGTTTAGGGATTACTTCGGGCTTGTCAGGCCTCCGCACTATGATACCTTGATGGCCAAGGAGGCCATCGAAAGCATGCTCTACGTCAAAGCCCCAAGCGGACTGCCTTCACACATTGCATTGAACCACCGCCGAGTGCACATGGGGATGCACCAAGGCTGTTCCGTTTCATTGTGTGCTGGCAGTTCTGATGCTCGGAGCTCAGCCTGGTTGTTTTGGGAGTACAACACCAGATGTAGAGGTTGGGCATGTCGAAGACTAGGTTAGAGGCCATCAGTCTTTCCAGAATGGCCACAGAAGCCATTCAACGTCAAAGCACCCACTAGTGCTGCCTTCGCCAGGTATGGTCAGACGTGCGTCTTTCCGTCCAACCCTTTGGGAGGAGCCTGCTGAATTTCTTGCTGCCTTGCCAGGGGGTTGGCACGAGAGTCACAGCCCGTATCATAGATAAGCGCCAGACTTTGCTGCCGGAGGATCATTGGGAGACTTGGTGGATCAGGCGGCCTTGAGCTTGTGCTCTTGAGTGCATCTTGCATTGACCTCCAGTTGCGTTTGGCCTCCAATGCCAAACCAAACTCAAGCACCCCCCCCTCCCACCCCCCCACCCCCCCCCCACCAAAAAGTTAGTCCTCAACTGGGCAAACAGGGATCCGGCTACACGCCCGGCATTCTCCAACAGTTCCTGCCACAAGTCACGCGCCAGCCAGCACCTTTGAGGGGACTTTTCCAGAGGTCAAGTGTTCAGGGTTTCTCGTCATTGGTGCCACCAAGGTACCAAAGTTACACGGGCCTCTCATGCCCGCTAGGACCACTAGGACTGTGACAAGATGGGGCGGAGCCTTTGCTTCCACAATGGCATTGTGGAGTGAATTCTGCAATTCTTCAAATGCTGAGTACATCCTGGGCAGACTCAGAATGATGAATGCCGAAAGTTGTTCAAGCTCACCGGGCTCGGCTCAGGTCCACGTGGATGTTTTTCTGCCTCTTCGTGATCCTTGTGGCCTTGTGGGCCCACGGCCTCAGCACTCCGAAGACTGAAGCTTCCCGCCCCTGACCTAAGTGCCGACAGCGCACATACGGAGGCAAAGGCCCCAAGGCTTATGCAGCACACAGTGACACACCCCCCACAAAGCACCAGCCGGGCCCTCGCTCTCGTCAGAAGCTTTAAAGTAGGCATCTACCCAAACGAAGGACAAAGCCTTCGGCAAACGTCTGGTGCATCTGTTCAGGTCCCATGTTCATTAATGCCATTGTATGGAATTAATCTCTGCTCAGGATTTATCATGTCTGCATGAGTGTCCATTGGTGACTTTCCCGTGCGACCCGTGCGACCACCCCGAGGTCCTTTGGCTGGTGTTTTGGATCATTGGTGGTACTGCCGGCACTGCCTGGGATCTGCTAGTCGGGGGCCTCAGAAGGATCACCGCGTCAGGGCTAACAAGTCCGAAAAGGATGGTCTGACCTCGGCGGTTCGGAAGCCGGGGAGTACATTATCGAGCTACTTTTCTACACTGTTGCGATACGAAATCCGGGTTTTGTTCGGGCCTGAGGGTTGAGGGATATCTCTCCTGCTGATGTTGACCTGTCTGTTGCCGCAGTCACACGTTGCATAGCTGCATGTAAAGCCAAGAGGTTGCAGTCTGCTGCCCGCGCTGGAAGAGGAGCTGCGAAAGTGGCGAAGCAATTCGCAAGTAGGCTTGACAAGTAGTGACCCTGAGGGCTCAGCCTCGGGGTGTGCAACCTTCCTGGACACGGGGGGTGTGAATGCTGCCTGGCAGGAAGCAGCCGAGCAAGGATGAGATACTGGCAGCTCTGAAAAAAGGCGAGAGGACGCGCCTCGGCGTCCATCATAGACCGCAGAGTTTTTTCGAGTATTGTGGAGATATCGGGGTTTCGGTCGTTTTTGGGGGGGTTTGGAGCTTGAGATTCAGGTGCAGAATGAGGGTTTTAGGTTTCAAGCAGCTTGGGACTGCAATCGATTCCAAGGCTCAATGGGTATTCCATCGATGTCGCCAGCAGTGCTGACCCAAGAGTCTAAGCGTTGCTCGGAGGTTCCTGAAGGCGTAAGGAAGCGTACCTGTGCTCGGCTTACATGCAAGTCCCACGTGCAGCCCGTCCGGGTTGGAGAGTGTTTAGCAGCACTTCTTTGCTTCTCCCCTCTGTGCGCTCAGCCATGACCTGGGACGAAGCCTTCTTCCACATCGAGAATACCTTCCCGCCGGCGTCCTACAGGCCCGCCTTGGTCCCGTCCATCCCCCCCCTTACCCCCAACATTGCCAGCACGACATCAGTTTGCATCAGTTGGTCCATGTTGCCTTCATGTTCCCCAGGTGCCCCAAAGCATCAACATAAGTCATAAATCAATTTCGAGTTGTCGAGAGAATCTTGCCACGATTCGCGAGCTTGGCTCCAAGATTTGTTCGGAGACTGTTGCAGAGCCGGGCGCAGCGCGGGTAGAAGGATACTCATGCGCAGCCTGCGACTAGCCTCGCGCGGTGCTGCACTGGCCGGCTGTGGAGGTATGACCCTGGCCGTGGGGCTGGGGCTGTGTAGAAAAGAGCCTCGTGAACCTGGGAAATCTGGGAAGCTAGGCAGGCTCGGCGAGCTCGGCGCTCTATGTGCTTTGCACGATGCGGGTCAAGGCCGGTGGTCTCGGGCCCTGCAGTGCGAAGGCCCAGTGAAACCAGCGAAGCGGAAGCTCACCGTGGCGGACTTGTTGGCGCTGAAGGGGAAGCGGCAGCTTGTCTTGACCACGGCTTTCGATGAGTGGACAGCACGGGCGGCTGAACAGGCCGGGGTTGACATGATCGTGGCTTGGGGGAGCTGCCAGGAACACAGCAAGTTTGTCGTGGAGGCTGTACGCCGAGGGGCTCCCAATACGCTCATTGGAACTGGGATCAATCCGGGAGCTTATGATACTTGGCTCAGTACATTCAAGCTTGCTCAGCTCGGTTGCGCTTGGTTACCGTAGTTGCTCGGAGACATCCGCTAGCGATAGCTAGCAGTAGTCGCAGTTGTAGCAGTAGGTTGTAGCAGTAGCAGCTGATCTCAGCCCTGTGTCAGGAGAGCCAGGAGAATGCCTTGAAGCTTGCAGATGAGTCTGGTACTGTTTAGGTGTTGTCGCTTTGTGACAATTTTTAGGGGCAGCACGATGCCAAACAATCAAGAAATTACCGTGCGAAGGTACCTGGGTACGAAAATTGTTTTCACTGTGAGGTAATTCAGTCCTGGCTGCTGCCTTTCTGAGGAAGCTTGCCAACGAGATGAGAGCCGCCGGAACTGACATCATCTACTGCTCAGGCCTCGTCCCAGAGAAGTTTGCCGGACTGGCCAAGCAGCATTTCCCATGCTGCGGCCACGTCGGCTACCTACCTGCAAATAACACCTGGTTTGGCGGACCCCGAGCCGTCGGGAAGACAGCCGAAGAGGCAAGGAAAGTCTACGAAGACGTCATGGCCCTTGAGGTGGGAACAGACCAAAGAGTAGCCACTTAATTGCCCGCGCGAGACAATGGCAGTATGTTGCGATAAGTTCTCGGACCTGCCCATGAAAAGCCATTTGAACAAACTGATGCCGACGCCCTCTCTCTTTTCGGTTTGTTGAGTTCCATGTCCGTTTGTCTGTTCGCCTTGTCTCGGAATTGTTGAACTGCATTGGGAGGCATCCCATAGCAATGCCCTTCTGAGGCTGCTGGCTGCATTGCAGTGGAGATGGAGTGCGTCCCTGCCAAGGTTGCTGCAGAGATTACCAAGCGCACAAAGATGCTGGTGTTTTCGATGGGTAGTGGGCCCGACTGTGATGGCCAGTTCATCTTTTCCGAAGACCTCATAGGCACAAACTCTGGGCACTACCCCCGCCACTCCATCACCTATGCCAATCTGATGGCCGATGCCGTTCGGGCTTTGAGCCAGTACTGTCAGGATGTCCGACATGGTGCATACCCAGCAGCGAAGCACTGCATCAAGATGAAAGACGAGGAGTTCCTGCGCTTCAAGGACAGCCTCAGCTGAAACACTTCTCTTCGAGAACTGCTGAGACGAGACGCTGCGGTATTGCAAAGACAACGGAGGTCTCAAAGCAGAGTGACTACATACGTAGGAAACTCATTGCCCGTGCAGTGCAGGAACGGTCAGAGGTCCCCATAGTATTTTGGCCATGTGTGCCGGGGGCGGGGGGGGGTGGGGGGTGGCGTTTTGCAACGGGCCCTCTTCACATTCAACTTGTTCAAAGGGGGTTCCGTCACACAGAACTTTCATAGAGCCCCCCCCCCACCCCCAATCTCCTTCCCTGAAGGCCTTAAAGGCTCTACTAACGCTTGAACCCCAAGCCCCAGCTGAAACCTCCCCCCCCCCCCGAATCACCCCAACTTCCCTGGAGTCCCACCTTGGGCGGTGTTTCGCCAGGTTCGAGCGCCATCCCAACTTAGTCTCCGTAGCCCCGCTACTGAGACCGACGAGCTGAGGGCCCGGTAATGACCCGGCGATGGATTCAGGGTTTGGGGTTTTAGTGGATGATGGGGCGTCGGGTTTGGGATGCGGATGGATTTAGAATGTGGCTGTGCTGAGTTGGATCATACGGTTTGAAGGGTCTAGAGTTTCCAGCCCAACACACTCCCAACCCCTGCGATTCAGTCCCTCTTAACTCCCTCCGTTAGCATCTCCATGCATCCTCGGCCCCGCAGTGCCCGAATCCAGGAAGCAATATGGCTGGGTTCAGTGCGTTTTGCATTCAGAGCAGGGCAACTTGCGCTGAGCCAGCAACGTGACCCAGGCCAGCCGAACACCGCCAGGGGCAGTCGGTTGCTCAGTCAGTGGTTGCAGTGCTTGTGGTGGAAGGGGAATATGTGTCGATCCACGGCAGAGCTGAAAGCTGTAGAAGCCAGCAGCTATCCCAACTCATGATTTGGCCGCGTGACCTCGATGCCAAAGCTTGAATCTAGGTCAACTTGAATGCTTGCATAGAGTCATCGCAATCGCCTTAGCTTCCAACGCCAGACCCCGATGACGCCGCTGCCGCTGCCCTGCGGACTGCAGTGAGCCACCCAGGGGAATTCGGGTTCCTTCGTGAGATGTTCGATAAAGTCATGGGTTCTGTGTCTGGCCGAGTCACCCAGACACCCTTTCCGAAACTCAAGTCCAGAGCAATACAGCATACCCTTATGAACATAAAGGGCACATACACTCGTTAAACCAGTTACTATAACTAAGAACTCCAGAGAAGCCGCTGCAACCGGCCAGGCGGAGGTCAGCCAGGAGGCCAACCAGGTGCCTGCTACACCGGGCGCGCCGGTTCCCGACAACGTGGCACGGAACTTCCTCAAGGTGCTCTGGGTGCTCTGGGAGGTTTTGGTGGTTTAGGGATGTTGAGGCTGTTGTTGACGGGATAACTGTATTTCAGTCCGGATGTCGAAAGGGATTGAGGGTGCTCTTTCCCCTGTCCGCCCTTTCAATCCTGCCCTCGCCCTCAACCCTCACCCCCGGAAGATTTTGGAAAGCCAGAGGCCCTAGACGAGGAGTACGTCCAAGGCAAGGGTGCCATTGTCCGGGCACCAAGTCAGGGAATGACGTGGAAGAGTTTGTTGGGCTCAAGGTTTTGGATGAGTTGCGGTGAGACTTGCTCGGACTGTCTTCAGATTCAGCTGCAGATAGCTGCAGTCACCGGCGCTGTTGACAAAGCAGGTCGGAAATTTCTTCGACAACGAGGGGTACCAGGCCAGAGAAGGATGTCACAATGTCATAGCCCTGACCCAGTGAGCCTGAGTAAGGTCCTCAGTGAAGTGGAGGGATGTTCCTGGCAGGATCCCTTGTCGTCCTTCGAGGAGAAGGCGACAGCCATACAGTAGCTCGTAAACCGGGTGCTGCGGCGTAAGTGCGAATCCTTGCATTGCAGCCCGGGGCACAAAAAGGAGGCATCATAAGATAATAAGTAGATGGAGTGGAGTAGAAGGCAGCGGGAGGAATTTTCAGCACATCGCCAGGTGCGCGACGCTGGGAACAAGAAGGAGGCCATTGAGGCGATCGCCAAGGACTGGGGCCTCGAAAGTCCCTGAGGATCCTGTGACAGGTTTCAAGCAGGTCGCACCAGACCGCCCTGCACTACGTCACTACGACTCAGTCTCACCGCTCATGTACAATGTATGAAGCGTCACCTTCAACAAGACTTGAACGTGAAGCTTCACGCTTTCAATGCATGGATTTTGTAGATGTTGCCAACGTTGTTGCTCACTCCGTATCTGTGCTTCTGCAACCTAGCTGGTGTACAACAAGCATCTCGGGCACAGGTCTCGCAGGTCACCTGCCAAGCAGGTCTGCGCTGCAGCAAACTGTGCCAAGATGGCTCTGCAAGGACATGCGACATGGGTAATTGAATCATTTTGTAATGATTTGTATCGCACCAGAAGGCCAAAGTGTGCTTGAGCTTGGTGGCACGGGTATCGGAGCACGGGCCCAAGTGCCACCAAGTGCCACCAAGTGCCATATCCGAGCTGGAGAGCCTTGCAGGATGCACTTTGCACCAGTAGGGACGCGACTATGCACTGGCGAATTTGGCTTCCAGGCCTTTCAAGAAAAGGTCGCTGACAGTGCTGTGGCAGTTTGAGGGTTGAGGGTTCAAGGGCCACTGGCCGCCACCTACCGGCCGCGATTCACAGCGTCGCAGGCAGCATCACCCATCACGGCTCAAATCATGCCGACACGAGCTCCGGAAGACAAGAGCCGAGGAGCTGGTCAGCAAGCCGATACAACCGATCCGTACCGTCCGTACCCTTAATTTACTGCTTGCAGTCCTTATCCTTGCTATGACTCCGGCCGCAGCTCTGCCTGCGAGTTGCCGATGACTGAGATGTTCCACCGGCTGCGCAACAACCCGGTAAGGCCGTAAGGCCTGAATAGCCCTCAAACAACAATGCGCATGAAGCCCTTAAACCCCAAACCCTAAACTTTCAAAACCTTATGCTCAAGCCTGCAAGGGTCTGTGGGCCGAGGTTGAGCGGCCTGCGATGATTCGCAGCGCCACAGCGGGGCAGGCATGAGATCTTTGAGTGTCTTAAGGGGCTTTAGTTTGCAGAGTTTTGAGGGCATAGCTGGGCTTTAATGAAAGAATTGTTCAGATTAGGCCTTCAGTGAAAGGTTTAAGGCGGCGACAAGGTTCCCTTCAATCGAAAACTTTGTGTCTGTTGAAGGTAGGCGTTGATTTTGTCGCACAGTGAGTCCCGAAGTGTTTGGGGGGGGAGCGGAAGAGAGAGCGAGAGAGAGAGCATCTTGAAACCCGTTCGACCCACAAAGTCCGCCGTGCCAATAATCACTTTTAAGAGCATCTCTATGAGCTGATAAGAATCCCACCGCACACCTTGGAGGCCTTGGCATCCGATTTCCTGCGCCTGGAAGCCCAGCGCGATGCCCTGGAGGCGAAACATCCCCAAAGGAGGGGGGGGGTTCTAGGTTTAGGGTTTAGGGGCCTGTTGTAGGATTCGGGGGGTGCCCGGGTGCTAGGGCTGCTAGGGTTCTCTAAACTTTTCGGGCTAATGTGAAGCCTCTACAGCAAAGGCCTTTGAGGCTGCCCCTGCCCAGCGCGTGCGCGAGGGTTTGGGGAATGCCGAGGCAGCTGTCGGAGTTGGGAGTTTGAGAGCTTAGGGCAAAGCGGATGCCGCAGGTTGAGAACGGAGGTCCTTGAACAGTCGCCCATGCAGCTTCTGCGATTTTCAAGTTGCGGCAGCGTCAGCTCGTCGAAAGACAGTCCCACAAACCCAGTGCCAAACATGTCCAGGGCAAGCAATGGCGCTGCCTGGAGGACATGGAGAACCGGAAGATGGTCTCCGCAGGGTTTTGGGGGGCAGGGCAACTGGTAGCAGAGGGCGTTGAGGATTCTGCAGCTTGCCGCCGTTCGTGCTGGTGTATAAGGCTTGGTGGGCTCCATGTTTTCTGGATATGCAATTTGATCAGCTTGGGCGGGCAAAATATGGAAATATGCACAGTTTTTGGGTTTGGCTTTTGAGTTTCGGGTCTTAGAAGGCTTAGTGGAGTGGGGTTTTAAGAAGCTTTCTTAAGGGGCAGTCCACGGAAACATGCCTTCATTGCCAGGTGAACCAGCAGCGGCAGAAAGCCTACGCCGACATCCTGGACCGGCGTCTCCAGGCGGAGGTCCCCGACCGTATTCAGATAAGCCCACTAAAGCAATATACATAAAATTACATAAGGGACAATTTGTACAACACATTATGTAGAACATGTATTGCATTATCTGTATGAACAAAAATGTATTTATATCGTAGTTTTTGTCTGCTGATGTCAGTTGTCGATCTCGTGTGCCAGAGTGGCCCATGCATTCAGGTGTGGCAAGGCAACCCAAACCCGAAGCTCTAAACCCTAAGCCCTAAGCCCTGAACCCGAAGAGACTGAGGAGCTGTGAGCCGAGGAATTAAGGTTTGGGGTTTAGGCCTTCCAAAAAGTCTTTCCCGATATCACGAGATCTGGCACACTTGATGTGGCTTTGGGGTTGAGGGTAATAGAGCTGCAACAAAACAGCATGAGAGGTCTTGTCAGTTCTGACAGCCAGCCTTCATTGTAACAAGTTGCAGGAAGAGAGTTTGGTGACAAAGAACAGCGACTTCAACAGGAAGGAATACTAGACTTGTGCGAGTTACGGAACAAACAAAAACCATCAGCAGTATAGATCATTATAATTATGACTGCTTGTTGCCGATTGAAGCTTGTTGTGTGACCATTACCTGTGTCCGGTGGTCGCTGCCTTCATGTGAGTGTCCAGGGAAAGCAGCAAAGCATCACCAAAGAGCGAAACCTCGTGATCCGGACGGAGGCATGCGGTTTTAACATCGCAATGAAGAGTCGGCCTGGGCAGTTTAGTGTGCAAGGTCGCTCAAGGCTCGTGTCTCCAGTTGGGAATGATTGTAGTACTGTAAAGCAGCGATTGCTCTACCACACCCAACTAGTCACACTCCTGCCAGTACCCTTCTGGGTCTACCTTATTTGTGCCAAGCAGCAAGCCGACCTTGTCATGTACGAGTACGCTTCGGGCTCTGCATTGAGGCCACCCGATTGTGCAGCAGCCGGTCCTGGGAGGGAGAGGCCTGCCAAGGTTGATGTAAATTTCTGTACAGTATATGTCATTATATGTAATTCTATGTCACAACCATATATGCAATCATACGTAATTATGTGTAACTCTGTTGTGGCGCCTTGCCACACCCGGCATCTATGTGTCTTGTGCTCAAGGATGATCTCTCGGCCAGGCGACCAGCCAAATCCGTGCCCGCAAAGAGCGTTTTGCGGTGGAAGTGGAGGAGATGTCGTGCCCTCAAGCCAGAACAGGAGGGTGGGTACCGGCGAACAACGAAAAACTACCGGCGGACAACGAAAGATGTCTCATAACAACGAAAGATAACAACGTAAACGGCCCGCCAGCATCGATCCAGGTCCGGCGGCAACCATCCCCTTCCGGAGAGAAACGAAAAACCCTTCTGCCGAGCATCGAACACCTGCCGCCCAGCATCGAAAAACCCTCCGCCGAGCATCGAAAAACCTTTTGGCCAAGCATCTCAAACTCTGCAACCTTTGCAGGAAGACCACCATCGATACTTTTTAAAAGCCGTGCAAGCTTGCTTCAAATCAGATGACTTTTGTTTACCCATCATGCGATCATGGTGTTTGCAAATGGGGGTCGCTGCACCCCCTCCCCCCCCAACCCCCACCACCGTTTAAGCCGTGCAAGCTTGCTCCAAAGCATATGAAGCTTTTTTAACCCATCACGCGATCATTGTGTTTGCAAATGGGGGGGGGGGGGGCTGCACCCGCTGCCCCGCCCCCAACCCTCCACTTTTTTTAAGCTGTGCAAGCTTGCTTCAAATCGTGTGAGTTTTTTCCAACCCATCATGCGATCATTGTGTTTGCAAATGGGGGGGGGGGGAATTGAACAGAATCGGCTGTAAACCTCAACTCGAGAGACCCTAACCCCCCAAACTCGAACCCTCAACCCCAGAGCCTAAAACCCTCAACTCTAAAACCCTCGATGCTACCCCCAAAGCCCCTTGGATACACCAAAGACGGCCCCTACACTCCCTGGTTTAGGGTTTAGGGTTGAGGGTCGCGCAGCCCCGCTCCCCCCCCCCCCGCTTTTTCAAGCCGTGCAAGCTTGCTTCAAATCATATGAATGTCTTTTTACATATAGACAAAATAAAAGTCTTGCTATGGACATATAGAGAAAATGGAGGTCTGTTGTTCTATGTAAATATACACCAAACAGGCTTTTGTAAATGTAGAGAAAATCATGGTTTTCTATGTGAAGATAGCGAAAATAAGTGTTTTCCTACGGAAATATTGACAAGGTGTAGTTTTTTTGTCCTATGGAAATACACAGAATTGCCTGACCCTCCCCCACCACCCCCACCCACACAACACAACCCCTCCCCGCCCCCCTCCCCCTCCCCCCCCCCCTCCGCCCCCCCCCCTCCCCCGCCCCCTCCCCCCCCCCTCCCCCCCCCCTCCCCCCCCCTCCCCCCCCCTCCCACCCCCCTCCCCCCCCCCCCCCGTCCCCCCCCCTCCCCCCCGCCCCTCCCCCCCCCCCTCCCCCCCCCTCCGCCCCCCTGCCCCCCTCCCCCCCCGCCCCCCCCCCTCCCCCCCCCCTCCCCGCCCTCCCCCCCCCCCCCTCCCCCCCCCCCCCCCCCCCCCCCCCCCCCCTCCCCCCCCCCCCCCTCCCCCCCCCCCTCCCCCCCAAAAAAAGACCACCACATGTCATCGTCTACATGGGACTTTGTCAAAGAATGCTGTTGGGATGGTGTTTTTTTGCTCGAGGTTTCTTAGAGATGAGGGCTACCTGGGATCAAGCAAGTCGTTAACGTCAAGGCCTGAACTTCCTAACGGCCTCTTCAGTACGGACTAAACTAAACCTCTCTATACCGGGGCGGGAGCGAGGGGCCTATATGTTATTGCCGAGCTCCCGTCCCGTCCGTCCCCGAACTCCCGGCCGTCCCGTCCCGTCCCGTCCCGTCCCGTCCCGTCCCGTCCCGTCCCGTCCCGTCGGCGGACATCGAAAACCAACTGGCGGACATCGAACGGGAACCGGCGAACATCCATAGGTCACATCTTGTCTTTCGTTGTCATGATGACTTTTTCGTTGTTCGCCGGTAATATTCCCAGAGCGGGACCTGGTCAAGTTCTTGAGCGACCGCTCAGCTGTGAAGTCTGGAGGTGGAAAGACTGGCAGCAGCGTGTTGCCACCAAAATTCGTGAGGACCGTAGGCTGCGGTTTTTCAATTTCGTGTTGTTAGCGCTGCCGTGGCCATTTGTTTCTTCACTTCCTGAAGGACATTGACGTGGCGCGCAGAGACGCTGAGCATTGCAAAGCACGGCAAAAGGAAGCCATGGAGGCCCGATCTGCTCGAGGAAGCTCCTCGAAGCTCCTCGAGCAGTTAATGGTATGGAAGAATTGACCTGTGCCGGCGCATATATGACTGTGTGCGGCAGAGCAGTGCACGTTGCTGCCTCAGAGCCGTTTTCTAGATGGATCAAGACGAGAAGAGAAGTAGCTTTTGCAGGTAGGGGGGGGTCCGGTCAGCAGGCCGTGACTGAGTCGTTGAGGCACCGGCAGACCTTCCAAGCTGCTGTCTGCGCAGTTCTGTTCAGTAGATCCTAGATTGCAAAATATTGCAAGTCCAGCCTTCAAGTGCTCGTGACGTACTACGTACGGCCCAGATGATGCGACTTCCGCAAATGTCTTTATGTAGTAGATTCTGCTACTTCTGTGCTGTTTTTGCGCACTTACCATTTGATTCCTTGACTTGTCTTATTCTCCTGGAATCTGGCGCACAGCGTTCGAACGAGTGTTTCAGGCCATGCCGGAGAAAGACCTGCCCCTCACCGCTGTGGTCGGTGCAGCAGCGGCCGCCAGCGCGGTGGTCGGCGCCGCCACCGGTGTGGTCACCTGGCATCACATGGGTCTTGTCGGAAGGATGTTTGGCAGTCGTGCTTTCTGTACGAAGTACCTAAAGTTGCTCTGACAGAATGTGTAGGAGGGAGGTGTGGCGCTTGTGGTTTTTGTTTGCGGGCGGTGGCTAGACTCAGGGAACGCCATTGTTGACACAAGGCTCTCTTCATGGCTTTGAAGGGCAAAGAGAAAGCTCGGAGCAGCGACCCCCCAGCAACCCCGGCGTGCCTTGGACGAAGATGATTGCAAAGGTCGACGGGTGCAGGGCTTCGGGAATTTTTGGTTCTTTTGGGAATTAAGGTGTCGAGTCCCTAAACCCCAATGAAGCTTGCAGGTTCCTCGCCTGATATGTAAGACTTTAAGATGCGCACCGACACCGGCTTCTGAGAGCTCATGCGCTGACCATGTGCTACCCAGGCTTGAAGTCGCCAACGCGCACATCAGGAATGCGCTGCCAGATAGCGGCATGATGGTGGAGGACGTGGGCCTCGTGAGGGTTAACAACGATGGCATGTCTGCTGAGCGTTGCAGCGCGTTGCAGCGCGTTCGGCGAGCTCTTGAGTCACAGCTGGTCGTTGCCTACGTAGGAACATGATAGTGGCAACAAGCTACATCAGGGGAATCAGTAGGAAATCACGTGTGCACTGCGAAGCTGCTGTTTGCACCTCACCGGTGAAGTCTATCTACCTTCAGTACTATTCTCTCTGACGTGATGGTAAGTTGACGGGACGACGGTTTTCTATCGAAATTCAAGCCCTGCTCAAGCCCCCTTAAGCCCTGCACGCTACAGTACAAGACCGCTTGGGCCGGTACGAACGATGCCCTGAGCCGGCCCAGCCTTCGCCTGCTGCAAGGGCCAAAGGTCGAAAAAAGCCGGCCTGGCCGCCACCTGGACGAAGCCCGCATTGCGCCCAGTCAGGGGTCCAGAATTCCTGTTGAGAGAACTCTTCGCGAACTAGCTCGCATGTCGCAGTGAGGTCAGATTCCCTCCTTTGGGGCTCTGAGGGATTGGGGCGAAGGCAATTTGATTAGACTCGGGCTTTGAGCCCTCCAAGAAAACAGCTCTCAGGGCTTCGAGGCCTGAGGCAAAAGGGACTGAGTGCAGTGCGAAGATGTCTTGCCAACCCCCAAAAATGTCGTCCGGGTTTGCCTTGCAAGGTGGTGATCGCCAGCCCCGCTCTGGAGCCCTTAGCCAAAGAGGTTGTCTTGCGGTGGTTTGAGCATGGCATGAGCACGAAAATGGTTGTATCCGATCTTTCGCACCCGGAGGTTCGCAAGAGATTAGGCGAGGATGAGTACCCAGCTACTGCTGGTCCGCTCCCCAAGTAGATGCGGTGAGCATGGTGAGCTGTGAGAAATGTGAGCACATGGTTCTGAGGGCCAACCGTAAACCTGGAGTACTTCAAATCGAAGGATCCGAATGTCAAGTGCCTCGGCCATGTACATGATCAGCCGCTGCAGTTTGTGATCGATGTAAGTGACAGAGACCGTCCCTAACACAAACCCGCCACATGAATAGCTGCTGCCAGGTTTAACTGGAAGCGGGTCGTGGGTCGAAAAATTATTTTCCTGTTCGACACCGTCGACCAGAGTCGATTCTTCGAGCAGCACGGGGGCCCAGAACCTGTAAAACAGAGGTACAGAGATGTACAGAGTCTTTTGGGCAAATCTACACTTCTAGACGCTGCGCGTCGCCCGCCTGGGCCCGGCCCGGCGCGCAGAGGCGTTTGGGATTGGCGGTGGCCACTTCTTAAGCGTGTGGAAGGGAACAAGCCACAGAGGTTCAAATGTCCGCATATTCAAAAACCCAAGCTTTCACATACATGTGGAGATTCCAAAGATTGTTTTGAGAGGGTTCATCGCTGGGATCGCTGGGTCCCACCCGCCCTAGCCAAGGCGAGGAACCCAAGTCCTAGTGAATATCGGGGGAGGGAGGGGGGGTGGGCAACACTTGGGATGGCTGGGAAAAAATGGAGGAGGTGGTGAGTCAGGGGGGCCACAGGAAACCTCTGATGCCACACGGCCGAGGGCCAAGACGAATAAGACATGGAGACAGATGGCCAACTCCTCAGGCTATCGCTGCTTCAGGCTCATGGCTCATGGGTTGCGAAAGCCAGTTTGGCGCTTGTGCACGGCACCACTCTGCACAGTTCGGAGAGTCACATGAACGAATCGCGCAGCAGAAGAGCTTGCTGGTTCAGGCCCTCCAAGGATTCGCAGTTCCGGATGGTGAAGACAAGCAGACCAAGTGGAAAACCTACGCCGTGGCCCTAATCAATGCTGCAAAGCATTCATAGTCACAGCTGTGCTCTGCCATACCATCGATTGCACAAACCCAGCACAGTTGCTGATGCGGAAGGTGAACGCGGGCGCCTATTCCTGGGGGCGAGCCTCGCAGATCACAGTGGTTATCCCGTGCCGGGGATGCAATGAAGTAGGTGGGGACTCAGACTCAAATCTTCAGACTCCCCATGGCTTCTTTGCTCCCTTGGGCCAAGGTGGTACAGACCATGCCAGCTGCCGGGCTTAAACTTTGAGGCTTTGCGAGCTTACCCGGCAAGGCTGTGGAAGTCCGTGGACCATCTCAGCTTAGCTTTGGTGGTTTTTGGTGGGCAGCTGAGGATGGAGAGAACCAGCAGATGGCATCTAGACGAGAGCGGGAAGTGGATCAACAGCAACCCGGAGGCTTGCCCCCTTAGCCTCTGCCACACTCTCTGAGGGATGACCATGGGGTCGGTCTGCCTTCAGGGAGCCTGGCTGGATGTGCCCAATGCTCTGCTTCTTGGATTCACAAAGCATGGCTTGTGCCGAGACTCCTTAGATCTTGGGGGCGTGACTTGCGTTTGAGGCTGAAGTCTCGGGTTTAGCGTTTGGAGGATTGGACGATGAGATTTCGGACTTCCGACGGTGCGGTTTAGGGTGAGTACGAGCTGGGGTCACAAAAGGTACATGGCGCGGCTCCTCGCGACTCCTGGATCTGTCCCTCCCCTGCCGGGGCCAAACAGCTCCATGGATGGAATGCGACTTGGGCGCATCACGACTGCCGACACCACCTTCTGCGTATCTTAAGATCACCACCGACTGGAGATCCCTCCGGCAAGACTTGTGTGGGAATATTTATTGTAGGGTGCCTCTTTGTAGACTTCGTCACTCTATCCTAGGCCGCTGAACCCTCTGTGGCCAGCACCTTACCTGGCAGCCGTGACGAATCCCCGGGGTGCATCAGCCATGAAGCAGCAGAGTCATACGGCCTGACTCCGCTAAACTCCGCTTTGCAGATGTCGAGGCGCCCACCCTTGGAGCTCCTGTTTGTGGAGCTTCATGAGGACCTGAGCTTTGCACCCGACAAGAAGCTTGAACCCTGTTTCTTCAATCCTGCGCCCTTAAAATATTGGATGCTAACTGAGCGAAGTGCTATGTCGTGTGCCGCCACGCAGCCAAACCCCAGGTCCCAGACACCGAAAACATCCAAAAACGTGCTTACCTCCCCCGGGCCCAGTAAGAGCTTATAGGTGTAGGTTTGTAGGGGGCTTAGGTGGTGGAAGGTTTATTCCCAACTTTTCTCAGCATTCTTTCGCACCGGTGTTTGACCAGGAAGCACCGGTGGCCCGGTCAGTTAGCGACCTCGGTGCTACCATCAGGCGCCCCTGCCTCTGTCACTCCACCCTCTCCTGACCTCTCCTCCCTCGCATTCACAAAGGTCTCTCGTACTTGCTCTTGTCGCGTTCCCTCTCACATACTTCTCACAGTCTCAGCAGTTCTTGACACTTGCGTCGTCAGGATGGAGCGGTTCGTCCCTTACTTCTTGAAGAAGTACAAGGCCAAGCCTACGTATCCAGGCCGGCCCACAGGAATTCCCCTCCGATGTTGAGCCTGGTGGCTATAGTTGTACATCAGTACTCGTAGGTGCCCTCGTCTTAGCTTATGCCTAGTTGGCCTTTCGATTTGTGGGAGCTGGTAGTTGCACAGTGCCGAATTCCAAGTCGGCACGGAGGCAAGAATAACGTCTACATCCTCTTCCCTGACCATGGCGCGTACGATCGGTACGCGGAAGCTGTGGAACAGGAGCTCTTCCTTGACCTCGATCACATCTTGCATCTTGGCAGTAGCTCACATCATCTTGGCTGCTCAGTGGTTCCAAGATGCGGTGAGTGACGCGGACAAAGTAGTGGCCGGGGAAGCCCCATGCTGTTGCCCAGCACTGCCGCGAGGTATATCAAGAAGACGAGGGTCGGCGAGTCCATTGGACAGGAACAGAAGCTCTTCTATGATCAAAACAGGACCCAAGTCGCCTTCTCACAGTTGTGCTCATATGCCACATACCCATCACTCCCAGCACTGCGCTTCTGATCGTCAAGCAGCACCCCATGCAGGCAAGAGTATGAGAAGACAAGCCAGTTGAATCCGGACAAGGAGCGGGCACGCCAAAGTGCTAAGTTGCTGCAAGACTTCTAGTGGGAGCCTGACTTCTCTCAGTCCTCCCCATTGCTGTGTTGCAGATTTTTCATCCCCATGAGGCCGACCCCCGAAGTGCTGAGAGGACCACATCTTGATTATCGACGACTTCACCAACTCGGGAAGCACCCTGTTTGGGGCAGTGGAGTCGCCAACTCAGAAGGGTTCGCAGATATGAAGAATTGATTTGAATCCTTGACGGGGAGGCTCCTTCTCCATGTCAATGTCCTGACGTGATGTTGCTTGAGACGAAAACCTTTCCATATCTTACCCCCCCCCGAACAATCCCAAATCCGCCCAACATTTTTGATATCCTTTCGATCATCAACAGGCTGAGTGTTTCAGTGCTATGAAAATCCTATTAGCACTCTGAATATGTTCAAGCATTAACTTGTCATTCTTACTTCATATTATGATCTCAAGATTTCGAACTCTACGTCTCCAATGTTTCAATAGTATCAAGCATAGCAAGGCTCAAAAGCAAGGCCGTTGCGAAATGCCAACCGAATTGGGCCAGAAGAATGTAGTCACTTCTGCCCTTACCTCGAAACTTGGACCCAACTTCAGTGTCCCAAGTTCTCCGAGTGCCTGCCGACTTAAGGTTAGTCAAGAAGTACGCGGGGGGGAAGGAGATCAATGTCTCCATTTTTGTGTCCCACCTCGTGGCAACCTATGATCCAAAGGCCGCCGGCCACTGTGGGTTTGATGTCCCGATTCTGTCTTTCTGCTGCAACGATTCCAGCAAAACATCGCGCTGTCTTCACGCGAGCGAGCGTGTGTGTGTGTGTGTGTGTGTGTGTGTGTGTGTGTGTGTGTCTGTGTGTTGTGTGTGTGTCTGCCTGTCTGCCTGTCTGTCTGTCTATCTATCTGTCCGTGTACCTCTGCGTGCGTGCGTGCGTGCGCGCGTGCGCGCGTGCGTGCGCGTGTCTCTGTCTGTTGTGTGATGTGTGAAGTGTATACATACACTTATTATGCATACTCATGCCAATCCACGTGTGTTTGCACAATCGTCCTCATGTCCACATGTCGCCGGAAGGTTGTCGACGGGCTGAAGGACAAGCTTCACAAGCTTGGCAAGCAGTGCAGAGCCTTGCCATTTCGTTGAACGGTGCTGTTTTCTTGTCGATGAATTGGAGGAAGGTTCCCAAACGTGTCTGACATCTCTGAGGATTTTACACCACGAACTCCATCCCAACGACGACGGACCAGCTGAAGGGAGATGATCAGGCCTGTTCCGGATCGGGAATTGTAGAATGGATAGGGATGACCAAGCAACACCTCTTTTGCTGTGCAGCACATGTGCGAGCTGCAGTTTTCTTTCCCCCCCCCCTCCCCGACCAGTTGGGTGATGGCAGGCCACGGTGATTGACATCTCTGATTTCATTGCAGAGTTGGTGGCGGCCAAGTGATTCCTTTCGTGATTGGCCTCTTGCTCCAATGCGAGCTGTTGCTTCTCCGGTGTTTCGCTGGCATACCCGCGAGAGGGTACATGAAGCATGCATTGCTGGACACTTTCCACAGCTCCTTAACCATTGATAGTTTAGATTTTTGTCGAAGCTGAACGAGGAGCTTGTAAACATCTGACACGTCTTAGCTCACGGACGTCGCAGATGCAGAACGTTGCCTGGGTTACAAGAACGACGCCCAGTCCATTGTGTGACACTTTGCGGATGTGTTGGCGATGCTTTTATGCCAAGAACACCGAGTGCCCTGATAGGCAAGTGTACAAAGATCGAGTGACAGCAAATAGTTCGGTTTAAGCTGTCTGGGCTGGCACAGGTTGATCAAGCCGAAAGTGGACACCCTACATGGCCGGCACATGACATATGGCCGATCAAGCTGTGCCACTCCGGATCACAGAGCAGAGGAGAAGCGCATCAGAGCGCAGCCTTTTGCCGTCTCTTGGCAGACGTCGCAGTGGCAGATGTCAAAACAGCAGGTTGCTTAGCTCTGCAACGCGCCGGGTTAGAAATAGAGCTCATGGCTGGTCGAATTACAGCCATTCCTGTTCGCAGGCGGCGTTGACGCAAGAGAGGTCGTGCTCTCATATGCTCTGAACTCCCAGCTGCCGCCCAGCGTAGCATGTGGCGGTGTGATTGCCAGCATAGTCCCGGCCCGCTACAATCAAAGTATGTCTGTCTCCATCTTCAAACAAGGCTATTGGTTGACCTTCTGGAAGCCGAGTTCTTGGCGCAGAAGGCATTTCTGGCACTGCAGAACGCGACCTGCTCCTTAGTAGATTTAGTAGACCGGCTTCAATATCGGAGGGGTCCCTGAACATCCACCTTGGAACACGACTTGAACGCGAAAGAGGGTCCAAAGGAAGGTTTGACGAGAGGATTACAAAGATGGCGACCGGGGATTGATTTTAGTATATGAAGCTACTTTGTGCATCCATGCGTCGCTAGCACCCGCCGAACCCTGATCGTGCTAGGTATAAGGCGAAACGCGGTAAATGTCAGAAGAAATGGGTGCTTCGCAGTCGCAGACCGGGTCCACAACAAATCAACAACCATTGCAAATCAATTTTCAAGACGCAAAGATTTCCGAACATGCCTGTCGATGGTTCTGGATCTTGGTACAGTTGGCAGTCTTCCCCGCACTTGTGCGAAGGAGTGCAAACGGAACCTCGGCATCTTGCTCACGCTGTGGCACCACCCATGCCCCCAAGAACAGGTGCGAATATACCGTCATTATAGGCTAGCTCGCTTCCAACAAACCCTAGCCTCTGTTCCAACTATTTTATTGTCACTCCTTCTTCCGATTGTTCGAGCTCATCTGAAAGTGGCAGGAAAGGGAGAAGCTCTACGAGGAGGCTCGGGGCTTTGATGTAATATGAAACTATGAAATCCTTTCGGGCCTGCGCGCAGCACGTCCAGAAACCGATCGCTGCTTGGGCGAGTGTGCGCTTTAAGCTTAGGGTGAGGGGGATCTACAGTACAGTAGCAGCCATGTCAGAAAGCGTTGTTTGAGGCTTTAAGTGGGCTTTACGATCGAAGTTCCTGGCGCTTGCAGATCATCAAACGTGCGGCCATTCACAGCCGGAAAGGTGGTGCATCACGCCCCGGAAGCGCGGCAAAGTGTTGGCAAGGGCAGAATATGCTTCAAACTCCAGATACAGAAGCCAGATAACAGGAAACCCCCAATGCGAGAAAGCCACACATGAGATGGCATGACATCACATCTCACGAGGTGGAGGAGCAGCAGCAGCGTTTGCGACAGAGGCCGAAACTCCTTTAGTTTGCGGAGGAGGGTTCCCAGTTCCTATCATGTCTTGGAGACGATACCGTGTTTCGGAGTGTGTCGATGTCCCGCTAGTGCGGACAGATTGCAGAGGCCTAGACCCGCCTCAAAAAGAGCAAAGCCTCACGTTTCGCGTCATGAGCCAGTATCACTCCGAATGACAGTGGTGACGATACTGCGGAGGATGAGAATGATGATGATGATGATGATGATGACGATGACGATGATGATGGTGGTGGTGGTTTGTTTGGGTGCAATTAGATGGTGGTGGTGTTGTCTAAGGGTAGTTGGAACACGGGCCCTAGAACGCCGTGGTGTTTTCGGTATTTCCGGCAATCTGAGACCGGTTTCCGGGTTTGGGGGTGGGGGGTGGGGGGGGGGGTGGGGGGGGTGGGCGGTGGGGGGGGGGGGGGGGTAAGAACGTCATTCATGTTGCGTCCATGTACAAAACACTGGTATTTGCCGCGTTTTCGCTTCTTTGTACAACACACTGTGCAAGGATGTGGAACAGGACACGTTGTCACAAGCGTCCATGCCAATTGCGCCGATGCACAAAACACTGGTATTTACCGCGTTTTCGCTTCTTTGCACAACACACTGTGCAAGGATGTGGAACAGGACACGTTGTCACAAGCGTCCATGCCAATTGCGACGATGCCCAAAACACTGGTATTTGCCGCGTTTTCGCTTCTTTGTACAACACACTGTGCAAGGATGTGGAACAGGACACGTTGTCACAAGCGTCCATGCCAATTGCGACGATGCCCAAAACACTGGTATTTACCGCGTTTTCGCTTCTTTGTACAACACACTGTGCAAGGATGTGGAACTGGATACGTTGTTACAAGCGTCCATGCCAATTGCGACGATGCCCAAAACACTGGTATTTACCGCATTTTCGCCTCGCTGTACGACATACTGCACAAGAATGTGTAACAAGAAAAGCTGTCACAAGCGTCCATGCCTTTGGCTGAAGCACGATCTCATTCAACACCAAAGCCCCCAATTCAGTATAAATCGAAGTAGTTTTTTTCCTGCTCCTGTTTTAGGAATCCTCCCAAAACCCAGGTAAAACGCACCTTTTCGTACACCCAAACGCCACGGCGTTCTATGGCCCGTATTCCGGGTAGTTATATGGGACGTTAGTATGTTGCCTTGCCTCCTTGGGATCCGGGGTTGTTTAGGGTAGATAAGGGGTACATAAGGGGCCCCCTTTTGAGGGCCCACACTAAGGGACCATGTAACTACAGTACCATCAACAGCAGTCAAAAGTGCCCTCAGGCTGCACGAGGAGCGCCGTGCTCTTGACGAGCGGCTGCAGGCTGACATTTGCTACAGTGGATGTGGGCGAAATGGAGAGCACCACAAGCCAAGTTCAGCATTGCTGATCGGATTGGTTTATGCGACCCGGTAAACCCTCAGCCCTAAACCCCCAAGCCTGAGACCATCATCAGGAGGTCGGGCATGAGGAAGCCACTACCCACTTTTTGTACTCCCATATTCAGAGCTGCGCAAACATCAGGTCGTGAGGGACAAACTCGCCCCCGCGACGAAAACGAAGCTCCCCCCCAACAACAAAGTTTAAGTTGCTTCAAAATCTTTGCATCACGCATGAAATCCGGATTTATGGGTCCAGCCAGCAGCGACTTGACGAGTTTCACCCCATTTGAGTTAGTAAGTTGTTGAAATGAACTTGGGGGTGAGCTAGCAGGAGGGGGAGCGGGAGGAGGAGTGGGGGGGTGCACAATGACCTCTCTTTGGACAACGGAATTCGCGGCCGGACCAGTGCGGCGGGTAGATCACCCACGTGGGGGGAGGATGTCATTGGTTTTTGGAACCTAGGCGCGCACACCCTTTTGCAGGCGTTTACCATGCAGCCGCCTCCGGCAGGCCAGGATACTTCAGTTCGCGAATTCCCTTAAAACCGCGCAAAATATTGCTTGCGGATGCGGCAGGTGCAGCTCCTGGTACAAAAGCCACACCGGCGCCCCCGAGTACAGTCGGTTCCTCAGTGGCCTCAGTGCTCAGCTCTCAAAAGGAGAAAGCGGGGCTTAGAGTGTTTCAGTAGCATGGCGTTGAAATTTCCGGCTCTCGGCTTGTAAGGACTCCCGTTTTTTTCGATGTTTTGCCGGGTCAGCGAATTCAATTCGTAGATAAGCTTCTGTGAGGCTCCTCCACTGTCTTCCGTGGAGCTGAGGCCAAAGTTTCGGCCAAACCATCCGAGCCCACGACGCCAACGGCAAGGCCAGGTTGCGCGTATCTGACGGCAGCGTCTACAGTAAGTATATAGGAAGCCGCTAGCGTAAGCGTCGATTCCATAGGCTTAGGCTTTCCAAACATCCAGGGCACATCTCTGAACAAGATTAAATCAGCTGACGCTTAGCCGCCAATTCTTACCAGATGCAAATGGATTTCCTTCGCGCGTCTCACATGAGCTGTCAATTCCTGTCAATTCATGGAGCATTTCCCATTCGCCATGAGGCAGGCAGCGGCAGAAGCGCCAGTCGACGACTCGGTGGATCACAGCCTACTCAGCGACATAAATGTGAGGGTTTGGAAATTTCTCATTGGAGATGCAAGCATCTGCTTCATAGCCCAGGTCACCGCATCAAAGGCGTGCGGTCGGGCAGCTTCGAAAAATGCCGGCAGCTTTCTCGGCACTCGGAACGGTAATTGTCTTGTCGTGTTAACGGACCAAGTGTCCCTCTGCAGCCTGAGCGCTGTTGTGCCGTTAAGGATTCGTGCCCAAAGCAGGCACTCGTCACTTTGAGGCCCGACAATTTGTCTGCGCTTGCCAGGGCATGAAGCAGTAGCGAACCAGTGCTGTTCCTTTGCAACCCTGCCGAGACCAGGTCTACCAGCAGTTGCGGCGCAGCGAGATGGAAATGCAGGACGGCAGCTTCGGGTTTAGGGTCTAGGGCTTGTAAGGGTTTAATTTAAAGCTTCGGATTTCTTGGAGGGCGTCCCTTGCATCCTGATGAGGGTTTTAGGGTACGGGCTTGTCAGTACAAGTACAACATTCGTGGAAAGTCCGCCTGCGGAGGCCGATCTGAGACTTCTGGAGGCCTTGGGCGGGGTCTCGAGTTTCATGGGATTTCGGGGGTCGCGGGGGAGGTTAAGTGGGTTTAACTCCAGGGTTATGAGGTGTGATTTTGGGGGGATTGGGGGTAGAGTTTTCGCGGTTCAGGAGAAAACCTCCCGCCACCGATGTCGGACCTTTCATGATAGTCGCAGTTGGTTGAAAGGGAAGGTGCTCGGCAAGGGTACCGAAGCTTCTGCAGCGGGCGACTGTAAAGGGTGCCCACGGGGTAGAGGGGGGGGTCGGGGCGGCTGGACACCGGTCGTCGCGGGGGAGACTCGGCCGCCCAGCATCCCTAGACCTGGATCTAAAACGCCTGAAGCCTCCGGCCTCGGCAGATTGAGCTGTTGTTTGCTTTGATCCCAGGCGCGGCTTAAGGCAGGCCTTGAACCCCGCTGCGTTAACCTCGTCAGCTGTGCATGTCAGGAATACCTCCTTGGCATATGATCCATGAACTGGCTTTGGAACGTCCAGGATGAATCCTTCGGAAGTCGTTCACGGTAAGAATCAAGAGATAGCAACTGCAACACTCCCGAGAAAAGATGGTGGGCTGCCCTTGCGATAGGCTTATTTTTAAACGCTTGCGCGCGCCGCCTCGCGTCCTGTCAGGGAACAACGCCCCGTTCAACTCCAGACCCCCAGTGTATGCGCGATCACGCGGCGCTAAACTGAAAACCCAGGCTTTGATGACCCCCTATCAACCTTGGCGCACCCAAAACCCCCCTAGACGCCGTGCACAGGATCGGAAGGTCCTCCACTGCCTCCACTGTGGATCCACCCAAGCAGCCCCAGGGCCTCCGTCCGGGAGCGGAGCTTGGCCGAGCCGAAGCAAACATCTCAAACTCTTAATCGCCACTTGAGCCCAGGCTCTGTGAAACTTGCGGCCACTTTACTGAGCTCATCCAGCTTCCCCCTCAAGTTGCGCGAGGCGGCGTGCAAAGGATTTGACACTTTCCAGGGGTTGAGTTGAAAGGCTGATGATGCTTTGGGGAGGAACCAACCTCAATCCTGAGCCCTCTACAAGCCCCCCTAAGCCCCCCAAACCTCAAGGTAGCACGGCAAACGACAGCCGCAAGCTTTCAGGGATGCAGAGTCCAAAGCCTCCCAGAAATTTTCACCAGGCCCCGCAGTCCACCTGAATGCGCCACAGCCCCGAACATCGGCGGCCATGGCTCAGGCCCTGAGCATGGCAGTGGTCTTCTTGGGGCTTTTCTGGGGTCTTGGGTCTTCTTGGCCTTGCTCTCGTGGACCGTAGCAGGAGAGGGCTTCTTTTCATTCTCCTTGTGGTGGGCCGGTGGGGTCGTGGTTCAGGGTTTCCACACCTCCGTGGCGCTTCGTGAAGGGCCAGTGTCGGACACTTGGGCCTGCTGGACGGAAATTGCCAAAAGTTGCCCAATCACGACTCAATCATTGGCCTTGAGCGGTGGACGTGTTGGGCTTGGATTGTTGAGAGCGCTCGAGGTGACGTCGATTTCGACTCTTGGGGCTTAAGGACAACTTACAGGACTTCTGGTTTTTGCATCCTGGCATTTGTGGAAGGTTAGGTTGAGGGCGCAATGTCTGATTGTTTAAGCCAAGGCGAGACGTGTCCGTTGTGGCAATGAGCACTATCGTTGCTCTGCAGCTTCGCTCTGCATGTCGTCACCAGGATGAATTCCCCGTTCCTGTCGTGTAGTTTTGGCTCGAGCCTGACTCGAACCCTGCGATCACCAGCATACAGACCTCTGTCGAAGGCCGGCCGAACCTCCTTTCGCACAGCCCTTCAGCCTCAAGTCCATGCATGCAGAGCCTTTAGCCGCTTTAGCCCAACTCCTATAGACCTCTCGTTGGAGCTCGTGGACTTGCATCATAAGCCCTCACACGCCTGTCCTAGTCTGACAGCACCGCACTTGAGTCACTTGAACATTGAATGGGATTATGCTTGTCAGAGGCTTACCGGGTTACCGGATGTTTCGGGTCCAGATCATCCCTCTGCGGGGAATTCGATGTGTCGAGGCCATGCCTGCCGGAGTCAAGAACTCCTTTGCGGCTCTCGCCATGGGTGCTCCCGGCACCGATTTCAGGGCCGTACTTGTAGGGATTTGGTTTTCGCGGAGTTTGGGGTTTATCGGGCGGGTTGGACTTGAAGGTCATGCATGCCCTATGGAAAACTGACTGGCGCATACACGATGCTACAAGCCATATAAAGCTCCGAAAAGTCAGAAGTCAGAGGTGGCTCCGACTCGGAAGAGGAGGAGGAGCGTGCCCAGGAGGCAGCTCTGTGCATGACTTACGGCTTCGGTTTTCGGAGTGTTAGGCCAGAAGGGTGTATGGCAAAAGGTGCTATGGCAACATGGGTGTTCTGCGGATCTGCGTTTCGATGCTGATTTCAAGTTGGCCGCTGCATGTCTTATGTTGGCCTGTCTTACGTCCCAATCAACCGCCACTCACTTGCCTGACCTTAGTCAACGCCCGGCTACGCGGTACGCTGACCAGCACCCTCAGAAGTCGGAGTGGTGTCCGTTGCCTCAGTAGGGAGCCTTCGTGAGAGAGAGCGTGGATACCTGGCTACTGTGTTGAAATTCTTCATCCACCCCACCAGCATGCAAAGCTGCATTTAGGAAATTCTTGTTCGGGAAACAGCTACGTAGCATGCAAGCCGAGGGGTTTAAGCCCTGGCAGGTGCCTGCGGAGGAGGAGCACCAGGCTGGCTGCTGAGACATCATAAAACTCATGAGAACCCCAAAAACAACCAACAACTGGAGTCGACAGTGAGTCTTCAGTTCTGTCAGAAGTGCAGTCATGAGTTATAAGGCGGCGTGAAATGAAAATGCCGAACCTACCCCAAGGCCCTAAGTCTGTCTAGGGTCATCCTCGCAGGTTGTTGAAGAGCCGGTGGTTGAGACAAAGGCACACTGGGAAGACCTTCTGGGGACAAGAACACACGCGTGCTGGAGCTTCTAGGTGGCCCTGGATATTTTGAAGCCCAAAATGTTCAATTTCATCATCTTCTATTGGAAGTTTAGGATCCAGGCGAAGTCCGAAGGTACTTTCATTCTGTCGGACCGTCTACTGACCCTCCGCCAACCCCCCCGTGTCATGTCTGCAAGAAGGCCAAGAAGATGCCTGCAACCTAAGATTCTGAGCATCCCTGAACCTTCCTGGCATTGGCAGCATCTAAGCTTGCAGCTGAATGCCCTGCGCATTGCCCTGATCTCTGCCCACTGAATGACGCTAAACTCATGTGGCCAGGGCAAGAAGGGCAAGAAGAAGGAGCGCAGCTCTGCCCCAGCAGAACCTGCCGCGGCCGCGGCCGCCCAGCTAACATTGCTGCCGTGTATAGTATCCTAGTACCAATCGATGTGGGGATGCGAGTCGCACGAGCACACGGACAAACAAACAAACAGACAGACAGGCAAACAAATACTGTGTACACGCACGCGTTGTAGCATAGCATGCGTTTCCAGGAGCACTGTTCCGTCTCTCTCAGCCCCCGACACGCAACCCTGCATGTAGCTTCTTGGCATGTAGCTTCTTGGCCCGCGTTATTGCTCCTGTTTTGGGATTCCGCACGGCTGAGGCGGCTCCTGTTGCTGCTGTGGCAGCAGAAGTCAGAGAAGCTCCCAAGAAGAAGGTTCACCACCTGCACTCCAGTGCTGGTTTAGGCATTTTTAGGCTTATTAAGCGCCCACCCATAGTCCTACGTGCAATGACTTCAAGTATTGTAGGGAGGGTCCTATGATTTGGGATGTCATCACTTATGCTGAACAGCTTGCTCGGCATGCGACAGTGCATGGATGCGTTTGGAGCCTGCGAGGTTCATTCATGATAAACGGATATCTCGTGTTTCCAACTCTTGCTTCCGCTTCAGAACGAGCTCTTTTGGCTCATGCCTGTCACACGACCGTTGGACCTCGACGGCCGAAACCAAACCAATACCCAGAAACCCTGAACCCTTCAAGATCCTTCCACCGTCTTCAACCCTTAAAGCTCCCTTTGAAAGCCCTTGAGTGCGTAAAGTTACTACTAGCGATTTGCCCCAGGAGCCCAAGGAGCCGAAGGCATGCGGCCACAGAAAATCGAGAGCTGGTTTAGTTGAGATTGCCTATGAGATTGCCTATGTAGAAGTCACTTTTTGTACACTGACAAAAGAGGACTTGTGCACTTGCAGGGAGATGTCGAGATACGTCAGATATGTAGGGCTAAGATGGTCAAGCGTTGAGGGTGTCGGGGCTTTCACTGCGTGTTGCGTCGCCGACGTGCGCAGGTCTACGAGTGCACAGCTGTTGCTGTGAACCTAAGCAGCTTGGTTTGGAGGCCCAGAAGCCTGCCGCCCTGGGCAAGAACAAGTTCGCCATGCTGCTGGGAGATGAGGAAGAGGACCAGGGGCCGCCTTGGGGATGGAGGCTTATACGGCTTTGAATGGCGTAGAGCAGTGTGTAGGCTTCAAGTGTTTGCGGCCCCGAGCCCTTAGACCCCAAACTTGAAATCGACGGTCAAACTGTGCGGTCGGCAGCTCGGACTGTTTGGCCACCCAATAGATCGGGTAAGGCAAAATCCTGACTATTAGTTAATTCTGTTTTTTGAGTCAAAAAACTAACTATTAGTTAAAACAGCTGTTTTAACTAAGAAGTTAATTTTGGCGGTAAAAACGAAGTTAAAACTGAAGTCAAAAGACAAGTTAAAAGACAAGTTAATTTTTTACCTTGCAAAATTGCCCACAGATTTACCTCAAAAAAGATCCGAAAAACATAAAATGTAAACCGGGACCCTGTGACTTAAAACCTGGAACCTGAAGCCCAAATCCTAAACCTTTACACATAAACATTAAACTCCAAGTAACTCCAGCCAGTGATGCAGCAGGTAACCATGTCATATCAGCAGTAACCCTGCACACTCAACAGACATCCACTGACATTCAGCAAATAACCACATGGCACAGCAAGGGAAAGCACTGTCACCGAAAAGCACCCGGCGGGCTATGTTTTTTCACTCACAGTGCTTCCAGTGACTGCATATGAAGTCCCATGCCAATCCTCCAGTGCTCCATGAGCTTTGCAGGAGCATCCAAAGGCTTGCTGCCCTTCACAGAATTGGCAGCCAGAGTCCTCGCCACTCCCATGAAATCTTCAGACACGAAGTTCCAAACCAGCCTTGGGTTGATGCAACGGGCCAGAACGGCGGAGTGCAAGACCATGTGTAATTTGGCTGTCACATTGCATATCCAAGGGGTGTCTTCCTCCGAATGAAAGTGGCTGGCAACGATATTGGTAACATGTGCCATCTTGAAAGCTGTTTCTTTAAATTTAGCAGCAGCAGGTCCGGGGAAAGCAGGTTCACCTTTATGTTCGTCCAATAAATGTTCCAGGGACACGTTGAGCTTCAGCATGGTGAGAATCTGCTTGTGGAGCAGAATGTTGGGGTTGTGGTGCCTGAACCACAGGTGTAGCATTGGCTCCACCATGCCCTTGACTTCAGCAGCCCTGCCTCGTAATTTTGGGGGGCCACTTTTCCTGACAAACATCGTCAATTTGTTGAAATAATTGTAACGATGCTTTGTGTTGAGCTGTTTGTACAAGCTTTGGAGCTCCAGCCATAAACCTGCGAGGTTTTCCTGTGGCGATTTTGGCAAAAGATAAAAGCACAAATAGTACCATATGCCTCCCAGAGCATACATGTCAGATCCAAGATACTTGTTGTGCATCAGATCCAGTGATACACTGGGCCCAGCCACACCAGGTATTTCAAATAAAGGAGAACGAGATCGGGCTTCCCAGGCTCTCCAGGTGTCTGGTGTGAATATGTGAGCAGTCCATGCAGCATCTGGCTTGAAGTTCCTCCAAGTCATTGGGCCTGTGCCTTTGCAAGGGCACAGGGGGCAGCAATATTGGTTGCTGCTCCAATTGGGCAGCTGCAATGATTTTGCAAACCACTCCAAATCTCCTTGTATTGAGACCAGTATGCCACAAAAGCCACCTGCAAGGTACCGGCCTGCTTTTTTTCCAAGTTCTGTGTGGGGACCATATATGTTGCCTTTCCAGTCTCGATCCGGGTATTTGCCATGGTACATCGCAGTGAAAGACCACTTCAAGATCTTGAAAAAAACTTCCAGTGTACCCCCTTCGCCTGCCAGAATGAGGTGATCAAAGACAGACCACAAGAGAAACAGTGTGGCCTTGGATCCTCCTTGACATAACA